CGGGCGGATCCCCTGGGCGAAGGCGGATCCCCGGGGAGCGGGCGGATCCCCCAAAAAAATCCACAAAGCGAAATCACGACGCTATGCGTATTTTTTTCCCCTCATTCTAAACACAAGAAAACCGCGCTGCCGTCGTGATTCGTTGGTTTAGGTCTCAGAGCGTCAGGGTCTCATATTATAATATAGAAGAAGTGGCCAAGAAGATGAAAATAAAATATCTACAACACGACATTGACACAGGTTATTGTCTAAACCCATGGGACTACTTTGGGGGAAGCCGTAATCGGTTCATGCTGGAGGACCCAATCGATGAGGGCTGGTATCCGTATTTCCGGCGGGTTTTTCGTCAGTTCAAGAGAAAATGGCGCGCGGGCTCTGATGGAACGAAGCTACATTGGTCGTATAATCAGTTTCAGTGGGATTGGCGAAGCTGCCACGCAAAACGCCTCGGCGCTTTGGCGACGCACAAATTTCTCGAGAGGATGAACAAACCGCCAAAGCTGCCGGCCATGCTCGCTGCGCGGCCAGCGGATTTTCTTGTGGCCAAGCCTTCCAAGATTGCGGACGACCTGTGCTAAGGCTTTCCGGCTACGATAATCCATTGTTTCGCGTCTGTCTGTCCCGTTACCTATATTGCACGCCGATCCGGTTAGGGCGACGCGGGGAGCCACAGCAGGTTGAGCTGCTGCAAAAAGTAGAGGATGCACTACAAAAGCAACGTCTCTCGGAGCCCGACGGAGCGACCACGCAGGGCATTGTCGAGGACTAAGACACAGAGAATCTTTAGGTTTCTGACGCTTTGTGCGCCACTTTTTGAAAGATGAGTACCAAAAATGAGTATAGCGAAATAAGTCCTAATTCCAGATCCGCTACAACAAGAATGTACGATTCAGAATTTGTAAGATGAGTTTGGCATTGAAATTTGCTGAAAGAGAAAAGAACTGAACTAGAAATGTGGAAAGCATTTCGTATCGGATGCGCGAGTATAAGGTCTTTCGCCACAGCAGACCACACGGAGTGCCGGTTCCGGCACGATGTCGTTTCTTTGTGAAGAAGGGCCACGTCGACCTCACTTTTTCAGTGACTATTTCAGACGTATTATATGGTGTACCATGCATCCGTTCTTCTTCGTAGTCCCAGTTTCTGTTGTCCAGGATTTTGGATTTTCGTTTCTCGCACGTTGAACAACGGGTTTTCATTTATCGCTTGTAAAAAAACAGTACAGTTGGTTCTCGAGCCCCGCAAATTTTAGAAGCTTGGTCAAGAAAAATCAATATGAGCGAGTAAGTTGCAGAGAACGAGGTCGCAGTACCAGAACCGGCGCTGGTTCCTGCAATTCCAAGTACTTGGCGCTCGTTTTTGAAGTTGATAAAACACGAAACGAAGATCGACATAGGCTTTTTGATTTTACCTCTGCATAAATTAATATTAAATTAGTTACTGCTACTGGCTGGTCGTGGCGGTCCGAGATACTGCTGATAAAGTTCTTTCGTCGATCTGCAGCAACAAAACATCGAAACTGGTCGTGCTATAGTATGTTTACATTCAAACTTGTTCAGCGACCTGTTAGTTTTACTTGACCCAGTACTTTGCTTTTGTGATAAATAGTACTTACGTAGTACTCGTTACAACTCCCTACTAAGCGTCTATTAAAGGGGCTTTTGTAAGTAGGCTCACCGTAGTTCTTAGAAATTTCAAAGAGCGTGAAACGAAAGCAAATATTAAACCGAAACCCCGTGATCACCATGTCCGGCGCACCCCTCTCGACCGGTAGTACACCAACAACTACCGGTCACTACATTCTCCCGGCGTACTACCGGCAATGCGGAAAACGCGATTCGCCGTACTGCGAGCCGCCGAAACTGCCGAGCATCGCTTTAAAAGACGAAAACCTCGATAACATGCACACGCACACCAACTTGCAGCTGCTCGCGACCGGAGAGTACATCGGGGCCGAATTCACACAGGACTTCCAACTCTTTTGCCCCCTGCGGAAAACGATCTATCCTATAGAAAAACGTCCCCACCCCATAGTTGTCATGCACATTTGCATCTACAGAAAAATCTGTAATGCACATGATCCGCGAGAGAGGAATTTGTAGTCGTGTTCTGGTATTTGTGATGCTGTAAACAGGATGAGCAGAACTGTCTTTGTGATGCTGCTGTCCTTGCTAAACAGGACTACTGTACGGATGGAAACTTGTCATGCATAATTAAGTCCCAAAACTTGGAGATTTGTGTTGCAGATTTACCCACTTGACTCTGGGGTGGGGACTTTTTTTTTTGCTCAGGATACGATCCGGCAGCTGTTTAAGGAGTTGAGAGACGACATTTTTCCGAACATGTTCAAGTGCATCCCCCGGGAACCCAAGTACTTACTACTATATTTTGCTTTACAATATATCAATTTCGTTTTGTCATGCACAACTTTCATGACGAGCGCGCTTTGTCATGCAAGACCGCAAAAAGGTACCGGCATAACAACTTCAAAATTCATTTCTCGAGGACATTCATAGATACATTCCTCCCTTCCAGATGCGGCGCGGCCATCTTTGACCGGCACGAGATTTGCGTGAAGCTGATGCTACTGCTATTGTGAGGAAAAATCCTCCCTCCCCATACCAGACCGGGATACTTCTGAAAATTTGTGATGCTGATTTGAGACCACAAATCGTCGCTGTATTGCAAGAAGGCAAATCCACAAACCTTGGCGCGTCGTCCTGCAGGCAATTTGTGATGCTACATGGCCTACGGAGGATATGCCTGCCTTGCTAGGCGCCTACACCAAAACGCCCCCGCTCTGGCTTGATATCAGCCTGCACTTGTCTACTGCAAGACAAAGCCGATTCGTGTACACAAATCCCGCATCAAAGATTTCCATGTCGGTATTGGGAGGGAGGATTTTTCCTTTTGATAACTGCTCCTGAACGGCCGCTGCCGCCGGGTGGAGCAACGGGAGCTTCTCATGCGGGAGATGCAACGGCTGGCCATGGTGAACAACGAAGTGGCAGATAGGAAGCTGTACGACTACTGCTCTGCGATCAAGCAAATCCGGGCGTTAGTACTGGGTGGAGGTGGCAGTGGTTACCCTAGTGGCAGCACTACGATGAACAAGGATGGTGCGAAGTCTGGTGGTGACAATGGGGAGGCAGTCATGCACGTGGTAGATGATGCACATGCTGACCCAGTGGAAGAAATGGGCCTGGTCGCCGAGAACGAAATGTTTGAGGAGGTGCAAAGCTGTGCGTACGACGACGACTTCTGCGACAAATGCTTGAACGGTGACATTCAGGAGTGGCCGCGGGCCGTGTACCACGAGATGACGATGCCGGAAGGTCCGAGCCCCGAGGAGCGCGGGAGGCCCGTGGTATGCATTGCAAAAGCATGATCGCACTAGTTCATCTAGTATGAATTGCATTACAAATTTGCTCAGCATGAGAAATAGGATGTGTCATGCTGTTTTACCTTTTGATGGAGATTTGTAATGCATAACTGCGATCACTACGAGTTGTACGATGCTTTTGCATTGCATACGTGGAAACGCACGTGGACGATGACATTCAGTACTTCGCGGACCTGGATGACGAGGGCAAGCTGCGGTCCCTTGTCACAAGACTACTTTTCCTCACGCCACTATCCAAGAAAAAAAACTGTGTTAGTGTAACTTTCTTTGGTTCTTGACAGCATTACAAATTTGCTCCACATGACAGAGAAAACCTGTCATGTGTGGCTTGTAAGGAAAAACACACATGAAAAGAGGAATTCACGGCTGTCTGGCATGACAAGTGTAACTCTGTTGCATGTTCTGCATTGCAGAGTTACACTTAGACAGTTTTTTTCTTGCATAGCCACCAACCGAGCACTGGCCGGAGGAAAATGAAGACGGAGACGCAACGCCCGTGATTCACGGAAAAAGAAAAAAGATGACGGTGTTGACGGAGGACCTCGGTTCCCCGGATCTGCGGGCGATGATAGCCGCGGGGGAGAAATCCCGCGCGGCGGCGGCAGCAGCAGTGAAGGAAGGAGCTGTGGGCAACACTGGTACAACTGGCGCAGCACCTATGAAAGAAAAAAACTGTGTAAGTGTAACTTTCTTTGGCTGACAGCATCACAAATTTGCTCTACATGACAGTGAAAACCTGTCATGCGTGGCTTGTGAGGGAAAACACACAGAAAAAAAGGACTTAGTGGCTGTGTGGCATGACAGGCGCAATTCTGTTGCATATTCTGCATTACAGAGTTACACTCACGCAGTTTTTTTCTTGCATAGCACCTCCCGTTGTTCCTTCGCCAAAGACGAGCAGCAGCAGCACCGCCAAGCCCCGACGGCCCTATCACGAACGCGAGTTCGCGCAGTATTGCAAGGAAAAATACTTCCTCCCCATATTGAAAACATGTCCTTCCGAAAATTTTTGATGCAGATTTGTGACCACAAATCCTGTCTGTCTTGCCAGAGGGCAAACCCACAGAGTCCGCCGCGATATGCAGGCGGTTTGTAATGCTGCAAGACCTACTGGGCAGACGTCTGCCATGCTGGGCCCCGACACCAAAAGGTCCCCCCTTAGGCTTGCGGTCTGCGTGCAGTGCTTTCCTGCAAGACAAATGTGATTTGTGTATAAGTACACAAATCCCGCATCACAGATATCCGCTTTGATATGGGGGAGAGTTTTCATTTTGATACGCAGCCGACGTACTTCAGCCAGCCATTCAAACGGCCGGGTCCCGGCCTCCCGATCGGCACTGCGCCGGGGCAGTCGGTGATCAGCAACATGGTAGACCAGCTGAACCGCATCAACAGTTTGGTCCTCGAGAACGCGAAGCGGCTGAGCGGGAAGTGGACACTGCACAAACTGCACCCGGCCTCGCCCGCAGCGGTGGTTGCGGAAAAGTGCAAGCAGGACGCGGGGCAGCTGGCGGAAATTATGGACGACTTTGAGTACTTACGGATTGCAAATATGTCTGGGTCTGGAAGATTGCGAGATTTGTCATGCTTGTCTGGCATGACGAAAAAGCTTGTTATGCGTGTCCAAGAGGAGACCCTTTTGCCTGTCATGCAAAAACGCAGTTTGTCATGCGAAAAACGCAACACAAAGAAGCGCAGACATTTCTCATGCTTGCCTGTGCATTACAGAGCAGTCACTATTCCCAACGCAGCATTACAAGTTTCCAGACCCAGACACTTTTGCAGTTGATAGTACTCGCTGGAAAACTATTTCGTGGACGTCCGGCTGGAAGACAACCGGTATTTCCGCAATCGGTTTCTGCTATGCATTGCAAATATGTCTGAGTCTGGATTTGTGATGCGAAATTTGCAGGACAAAAAGATCTGTGATGCATGAGGAGGATTGGCTAGCTATTTTGTCGTGCTGAAAGGTAGTTTGTCATGCAAAACGCACCAGGACTCGCAGTTTGTCACGCAAGACTCAGCAACACAAATTCGCTATTCAGCCCCAGACATGTTTGCATTTGATATCTGCGGTTCGCGTACGTTTTGGAAAAGCAGGAGAAGCAGCTGGAGACCTTGGCGAAAGGGGCGAAGCGCATCCAGGACTGCATGCTCGAGGAGGTGGCCGGGATCTACGAGAAAAATGTGAGACGGCTGTACTGCAAGAAAGAAGATGATGCTGAAAGAGATTTAAAGAATTCCACCAAGGAAGTTGTAGGCACCACAACGCATCTATCCAAGAAAAAAAACTGTGTTAGTGTAACTCTCTTTGGCTGACAGCATCACAAATTTGCTCTACATGACAGAGAAAACCTGTCATGCGTGGCTCGTAAGGGAGAACGCACACGAGCAGCGGACTTCGTGGCTGTCTGGCATGACAGGCGTTACTCTGTTGCATGTTCTGCATTACAAACTTACACTTACTTACGCAGTTTTTTTCTTGCATACCATCAAGACACGAGCCTCGAGGCGAACAGTTTTGCTGGAGATTTTGCTCGTGGATAACTGCAAGCTTTTGACGATGTGGTCGAAAATTCTGAACGAAAACAAGATCGACAGGCTGTCGACCTCCTCGATCTTATCAAATGCAAAAATGTCTGAGTCTGGGAAATTGCGAGATTTGTCATGCAGATTTTCCATGATCCATGCCGTCTGATATGCAGGACCTTGCATGACAGATTCTGTGAGACCCCTATCATGCCTATCCTGCATGAGAAGCCTCCTCCCAACTTGGCGAAGGTGGCCAGGCTATCAGCGTTTATTGAGGGCAGTCGAAAGCTGGCGCGGCGACTGTTGAAATTGCAGAAAAGACACGCAGGCGCCAGCGCGTCGCTTGACCCAGAGCGCGTAGCGACAAACGAGGGCGTCGACGCGGCCACCGACTTGGTCAGAACGGTCGAGAGCTCCCTGGACCCTCGACAGCCGGATTGCGCCGCGTCCCTAACGCGAGGGGATGTGGATGAGAAGTGGTCGCTTTCGATCTCCAGCATTGAATCGCGAAAGACGCAGCTAGAAGCCACTGCAAAGCCATCGGAGAGCGCGTCTTCAGATGTGCTCACTGCTCCGGAACCGCAGCCCGACTTCGCGCGGCGGCGATTGCTGCCCGTTGATCCTTCCGCGCCGCCGGCGAAGGTAGGCGGGAAAGCATCCAAGCCCCCGAAAGTAGGCGACGACGTCGCGCGCGTCGTGACGAACCTCCGCAACCCCCTGGGCATTTGTCGGCTTCTCGGGACCCAAGGCATCCGCACCCGGATGCAGCAAGGGCGCGAAGGTTTTGCCGAAACGCTGCTGGATGTGCAGGAAAACATCGCGGCCCCGTGGGGTTATCTCGACTCCGGGCGGGCAGCTGCTAAGGCGCCCGACGGTTTCACAGCCGTGAACGAGGACGGGTGGCGGCTGCTTCGTGGGCCACTGACTGAGCTGCTGCCTGCAGCGCTCTACACAGTTGGGCCGAGACCTGTGCGGCGCAGGCGGTGGCGATCCAGCCGGCGGCGCTGGTGACTCCACACAGAAGAGCGAGCCACTCGAGCTAAGCGCGGCCATCTTCTGCGGCCCCACCTGCTGCCTGATTTTGGACCGGCGCGCGGGCGAACTTCGCCCGACTCTGAGAGTGTTCCCCCTGGAGTTCGATGTGGCGGCCTTTCTCGGGGGCCTATGCCTCCCGCTCTCGGACCAGAAGAAGCGCCTGCATTCCCTCGGGGCATATCTTGACAAGCGACGCTTGGGCAGCAACGGCGGCGGCCCGGAGTCCGGGGCGGCTGCAATGCTCGCCCTGGCCAAGTCCGACCCAAAAGCGGAGGCCTTGCGCAAGAAGCTGCAGAAGGCACGCAAGGACTCGCAGAAGAAGACGAGCGAAGCCGGGAAGGAAGTCGACGCACGTGGCAAGGCGATAGGCAAAGCTATGCAAGCAGGAAAAAGCGCGGGGGCCCCCGGAGCGGCTGCTGGCGCTAGCAGCTCACCCGCGAAGGCGGCCACCGGCTCCACTACCACCGAGGCGCGTAATGCGTTGGCCTTCACTCCGTACTACACCAAGACCCTACCCGAGAATCCCGACAGCCAGCGAGCCGTAGTATTTGAGTTGGCAAAGGGCGCGGCTTTGGCGCAGCACCGGGAGGCGTTCGCAGTCTTCGCCTGCAGTCTGCTACAGTCGGACTGTAGCAGACTGCAGGCGAAGACTCCCGTAGACAGTGTAGTCAGACAGTGTAGATGAAGACAGCAGACTCTGTAGAAGACTGCAGACAGTGTAGACAGTTCCACCGGGATCGGCTTCCCGGCGGATTGAGTCCGCCGGGAAGCCGATCCCGGTGGAACTGTCTGGCCGCAAATGTTGCAGCGCACACCTTCGGCAGGGCGCAGGCATGGGACGACTTCGAGCCCCTCCGCCAGGCTCTTGAAGATGCGGGCCACAAGTGGGACGCTACGACCGGCCGGGCCCCGCTGTTTTGCCGGCTCGGGACGCTCAACGGCAAGGCTACAGGGGCCAAAGCAGTGCAGTGGGAGAAGCTGAAGGCCGGCCAGATCATACGGGAGAACCGCGTGGGCCTCGGCCTCCTCTACCTGCCTCCGAAGATTCGGGGGGCCGCGGCGGGCGAAACATTCGCGAGGAAGATGGGCGCGGGACACGCGCGCGCCGGCCGGCGAAAGTGGAAGCCCCGCGCCAGCTGGGGCCTGGGTCCAGCTGCGTCGCTGCTGCAGTACGTGGCCCATCAGCGAGGAGAGTTGCAAGAGCTTGCTGGGGTTCGCAGGTGTCGACCACAATGAGAACCAGGCCTGCGCTGCGCGAATTGCCTCCAGTAGTGGCACGGACGCAGGAGAGGGCGCTGGAGCAGCTCGGCAGGGTTCGCGCCGGTTCGACGCACCAGCTCGCTGGCGCCGTTCTGTGGGATGATCGGCCGGGGCGATGTCAACCCTAACAGCGAGACCGTTGCGCATTTCGTCTGCTTGGTCCTGTGGCAGGTTGGGGACCCTGTCAGCCCTCGCGGTGCCCAGCTACTCCGGCAGCAGACGCAACTTCCGCAGTCAGAAGCGGCCTCGGAGAAGAAGACGGCGGGACTTCTCGATGGCGTGCAGTTTGCCACCGGCGGGGGCGGGAAAAGAACCGGCGCGGAGGACCAGGAGGACTTCGAGGACAGAGGAGGACTTGCGGCGGGCTCGCACCATGTCGCGCGACCTGGTGAACCCGGAAAGCACCCGGCGGCACGACCTCGCTGGAGAGGTGCGGAAGCGCCTGGGAAGTTCGGAAAACGCTTGGGACAAACGGCGCTGCTCTATGTGTCCGGTTTCGTCGGCCTCCACTTGTTCGAGCACACGCAGCCCGGTCTCCCGGAAAACGGACGCGGCGACGCTTCGCATGTTGGTGCGGACGATGGCAGTCAAGTGGTTCGACGATTTGCGTGGTGCGGGTGACGCGGGCAGCGAGCTGCATCGCAGCGAGCTGCATCGCAGGCGCGCTTCTTATCGGACACCCGGAGGACCAGCAGCAGCATGGCGGGGCAGCTTCGAAAAGCGTGGCCGAGAGCCTTCGCGGGTGGCTGACGTTCAGGGCGATCGTGGTCGATTACGGTGGTAGCGGCTTGCTGGAGTCGGACGGTGGGAGCCCATTGCGGCGCGGCGCCTACTTTTCGCCGAGCGACTGGCGGACCGCCTTGCGCCGGCGCTGCGCCGGGCGGCCGCGGCCGCAAAGTCCGAGGGCGTTACGAAGTTCGTGCGGGGCTACTGGAAGCAGGGCGCGGGTGCGGTGCTGTCGTCCGCGGGAACCAGCTGGAAGCGTGTCGGACTGGGAAAGCCGGCGCGGCGGCGGGCCTGGCGCAAGTACCACGACGGCGGGGCTTGTTGGCCCGAGATGTCTGCAATGCACGACCTAGCGTCACAGATTTTTGGACGGCTTCCTGATGCCTACTCCGCATGACAAATGCCCTTTTCAAGATGGCAGCGCGCGGACCCCGTCTCGACAGGTCCCCGCCAGCCCTGCTACGGGGTGCGACGATGCTAATCATATCGCTCTCGCCAGCCCCCGGGGCACGGCGCTGCTTTTCATCCCGTCCCCGCCAGCTGACTCCATGTAGCAAGGCGCTGCTAACTGCACAAAAAGAAAAAGGAGAGGAAAAGAAACAAAGGGAATGGATTAAAGTCGCACAGAGCCGCCCCCGGCGCCAGGCTCTTTATTTTCGCGCTAATTTTCCTACCGTCGGCGCTCTTGTGTGGGCGCTAATTTCTTGTCTAATTTCTTGTCTAATTTCTTGTCTAATTTCCTGTCTAAGTTCTTGTCTAAGTTTTTGTCTAATTTCTTGTCTATTTTCCTGTCTAGTTTTTTGTCTATTTTCCTGTCTATATTCGCGGCCTTTGCCGCCTCTAGTTTCTGTCTAAGCAGCGGCCTTGGCCGCTTCGGCTGCTGTCTATTTTTTGTCTAATTTGCCCAGTTGGGCAATTTGCGTGCGATTTTGCCTATGTCGGCCGTTGCTCTGAAATTTAGGCGCAAACTTAGAAAATTTCGGGACGTGGTCAAGAACGGTTGAAAGGGTTGGCGGCGCAATTGCTTCGCCACTGCGCCTTTCTGGCGGGTCTTCGGCGATGGGCTCAGGCGTCTGCGTTCTGCAAGGCGCCCGCGCCCCGCCTGTGTCCCCGGCAAGGGTTGCCCGCCTCGGCCTATTGCCCAGGGCGGGCTTGCTCGCCCAGGCTAGGGCTTGGGCGGTTCAAAAAATAGCGGGAATTTAGGCAGTCGCCCGCCGGGGCTGGCTCTCCGCGATTAAAGAAGTGGCGGCAGGGTTGCTAGTTTAAAGACTGCGCGAAAGCAGCGCCCCCCTTCCCCAAGGGGTCCCCCGGGGCGGGCCCGGTGGCGGCTCTGCAAATGCGGAGCTCCGCGGGCCGATTCTCCGGAAACGCATAGAAAAGGGCGCGGGAAACAGGTCGGCAAAAAGTGCCTGAAAGGGACACGCCGGGGGGTCGTCTGCCATCGCGATAGGATCGCCGTGTGTGATCATTAGACCCCCAGTGTATTTTTTAGCGCGCAACCGGCCACAAAAGTAAGACGTTGCATGCGCAAGCTTGTATGGGCAATGCTGGAGCTCCACCCTGCTCGCGGGCTTGGATGGTGAGGCAGGTCAGCCACACATAGCGCCCGCCTACTGGTTGTAGCTACGCGTAAGCAATCGATAGCGGTTTTGCGGGTGCAGACGGGTGGTAGCTAGGAAGTGGATCGCGTATCCACCTAGGGGTATCGGCAGAGACTAAATCTGTTCTAGCGCCCAGGTATTGGCAGAGGTCAAATCTGTTCTAACGCCGACCCGTCAGGAGTTAATTAAATGGTGCTACTACTACTAACTTGGTCAAAAGTGGACAACTTTTGGCATTTGTGCAACACAGATTTTTGCACGATCCAGAATTAGCATATACAAGTTGCATCCTTCCAGGCCCAGACATTTTTGCAATGCATAGATCTCTGGCAGTTACAGCACGTTTTTCTCCGTCTTGGAGATGCAAATCAAGTTCGTTCGCGCCGACAAGACCGAGCGGCCCCACTTGTATCCTGTGCAAAAGTATCGCAGTCCAAGTAAAAATCGCAGTCATGCATTACAAATATCCATTCCAAGGTAAAACAGCATGACAAATAACTCCATTTTTTTCCGATGCTAAGTGAATTTGTCATGCGATTCCTACTAGTACGATACACTTTTGCAATGCATAACTTGGCGAGAGACCTGATCTCCCTCGCGTCCGGGTTCATATCCAGGAAAAAAACTGTGTAAGTGTAACTTTGTAGGAAGATCAGCATCACAAATTCGCTTTGCATTACAGGTAAAACCTGTCATGCGCAGCGAGTACGTGGAAACACCTATGAAAGTGGCCTATGACGCACCTCTAGCATGACAAGTGTAACAGTTTAGCATTTCCTGCGTCACAGACTTACACTTACACAGTGACAGTTTTTTTCTTGCATAGTTCAGTGGCGAACTGCAGTTCGTCTACGAGAAGACGCTGCGCGACTATCTCGAAAAGCAGCACGGTGAAGCGGAGACAAATGAGCGCGACATCCGCGAGGCGGTGACGCGACAAACGCAGTGGGTCGAAGAAAATTTCCCGGTGACCAGCGTGAACCCCCGGTCGTTGCCCCCGAACGTGAAAATTGTCTCCAAGCCGAAAGACGCGGTGACGCAGCTGAAGATCGAAAACAACCGGCTGAAGTCGGTGGCAACGGAGGACCCACCGGGCAAGAAATTCCCTCTGGGGGGTAAAAGAACCGCGACACTGGATGAGGCTTTGAACATGCCGGCCCACCAGCTTCCGGGCCCACTGCCGGCGCTGGGCGAGCCGCAGTATGGATTGCAAAAATGTCTGGGTCTGGAAAGTTGGCACTTGTAATGCTGGTCTTACATTCCTGTGAAATCTGTATTGCATGACCAAGAACAGTGGTAGCCTCTTCTGTCATATGTAGTGAGGTCACCGAACGGTTCTAATCAGGGAGTTTTTTTGCCAGCCAGACAGCAAAACGACCGGCAGTTTTCAAGCGGCCGGAAGTGTTTTTGAGCATAAAAAGTTTTCACTTATCAAGCGGCCGGGGCGTTTGTGGCAAACAAGCCCGGTCGAAAACTATCGACTCGCACTTGATAAAACGACGCAGGGGAGCCGGCAAAAGGGGCGCCCTTCTGAGGCGCCCACCGCCTTAGTTTCTGGCGATTTGGGGCGCCCAAAAAGGGGCGCGCAAAAAACGCGCCCAAAATCAGAACAGCGAAACAGCATGGCACGGCCGCGATTTCGGAGCATTTTGGGCGGCCGCGAAAGCGGCGGCCTTTTCGCCGGTTTCAGAGCCTGGGAAGCTTTGTGAAAGCGCTGGCGTGAAAAATAAAAACGCGAAAAAGAAAAAGCACCCCAGACGCGCGAAGCCAATCGGCATGCTATGGGCCCGATTTTTCTTCGCTTTTTGGGCGCCCCCCGTGGCACCTGGATCGGCCCCATAGCATGGGGGCTGGCCTTCGGAAAGGAATGTCGGTAATTTGCCAAAATTTGCGACGTTTATCAAGCGGCCGCCATACCGTGCGGCCTAACGTTACTCACGGCGGTATGGCGAGCCAAGAAAAAGCAAAGCCGCGGCCAAGGCGACGGCCGGCAAGAAAACGCCCACGACCTCACTACCTCCGCCCCGGCGGCTATATTTGGTAAAAAAACGCAGTTTCTCATGCGGAGTTCGTATGAGAAAGCGCGCTGCAACCTTGTCATGCTTTCCTGCATGAGGGAGTGACTTCCTCTTGCACATTTTAGCATCACAAATTTCCAGACCCAGACATTTTTGCAATGCATACGCAGCAAGAATCACTGAATCAAGCACTCGTGCGAGTGCACATGAAGCCGGAGCTGATGACGATGTTCACCGTGCAGCCCCTTTTGGAAAAGGAAGCCAAGGACCGGCTGGGGAATCTATTGCCCAAGAAGAACCAGTACGCATTGCAAAATTACCTTACTAGTAGTAATTGCATTACAAATTTGCTCAGCATTACAAATTAAATCTGTAATGCGGATGGACACTAATGCCTGCGTTTGTAATGCATAACTGCAATCACTACGAGTACTCCCCAAGAGATCTGAATCGAGCACCGCCCGAGATTTTAGCTGATGAATATTTGAACGAATGAAAAGAGAAACTTTTTTTGAACTTTTGCAGCGCGCGCAAGCTTGCGCTGCCGGGGGGCTGCGCCTCCCCCCGTTCGCGAAAAATTTCGAACTTTGCCCCGCTCCTTCGGCGTTGTCTTCCCTTGCGTGTAATGTTTTTGCTTTTTTAACTTAGCGCGGCTCGTTTATTTTACACTACAACGGGCCTAATTAGCATCAAAAGGGTGCGCTTTTTCTTTCCGAAGGCTTTAACTTTTTTTGGCGTCCATGCAAGTTAATACGCGAAGCAGCCTGAAAGAGCAGCAAAAAGCCGCGCGCCCCTGCGGCCTTTTGCTGGTTTGGCATGTAATGCAACCCCGGAGGCCGGTTCGTCTTGCCAGCCATCGGCCTGCTCCTTGGTGTGGGCAGTGTTTTGGCGTTTTTTGTTCTAGGCGCTGATCGCGTGGCGCTTTTCTGCATACCTGAGCGCAGCGGAGTGGCTCGCTGCCGTTTTTTGTCTTTTTCCGCATTTGTGTGGCACTTTTGCCCTTTTTGCGCTACAGCTTGCAGATATTGCCCATGCTCGACCTACCAAGCACGAGAGGCGTCGCAGTCGGTAAAGTTTTGCGCTAAGAATGGCGCCATTGTCCTCTTTTTGATTGCCTCTGCCGCTCTTTTTTCTCTTCTTTTCGCTGCTTTTGGCCCCTATTTTTTTGCGTTTTTGCGCCTTTTCGAGCCAAAGGGAGCTCGTTCGGCGCATTTTGAACCTAAAAACGACCAAAGTGCCTGGGGCTGGTTTCTTTCGCTGTCTTTTTGCCGTATTTCGTTCATTTTGCCGCGTTTTTGTGCGGGAGCTCTTTTGGCGAATTTGGGTCCTGAGTGCGATCAAACTGCCGGAGGTTGGCTCTACGGGTGCGACAACGCCAACGCGCTGCGAACCCCTCCAAAATCATCGGCGCGCGCCTTGTTGCGATTTTGCGCAGTTTTGGAGAATGTGCACAGTGGCGTATTTTTTTGTGCCTAGTGATTCTGCATGTAATGCAATCCCGGAGGCCGGTTCGCCTTGCCCGCCAGCGGCCTGCTCCTTGGTGTGGGCGATGTTTTGGTGTTTTTTGCTCTACCTAGGCGCTGATCGCGTGGCGTTTTTCTGCATACCTGAGCGCAGCGGACTGGCTCGCTGGCGTTTTTGCTTTTTTTCCGCATTTGCGTGGCACTTTTGCCCTTTTTGCGCTACAGCTTGCAGATTTTGCCCATGTTCGACCTACCAAGCACGAGAGGCGTCGCAGTCGGTAAAGTTTTGCGCTAAGAGTGGCGCCATTGTCCTCGTTTTGTCTCTGCCGTCCTTTTTTGTTGTCTTTTCGCTGCTTTTGGCCCCTATTTTGTTGCGTTTTTGTGCCTTTCCGAGCCAAAGGGAGCTCGTTTGGTGCATTTTGGACCTAAAAACGGCCAAAGTGCCTGGGGCTGGTTTCTTTCGCCGTCTTTTTGCCATATTTCGTTCATTTTGCCGCGTTTTTGTGCTTTTTGGAGCTGAGGGGAGCTCTTTTGGCGAATTTTGGTCCTACGTGCGACCAAACTGCCGGAGGTTGGCGTCACGGGTGCGACAACGCCAACGCGCTGCGAACCCCTGCAAAATCATCGGCGCGCGCCTTGTTGCGATTTTGCGCAGTTTTGGAGAATGTGCAAAGCGGCGCACTTTTGTGCCTATTTTGATAACTTCGCGGCCTTTTCCTTTTAATGTTCGCACTTTGCACATTTGTGCAATTTTTAGGCTTAACTAGGTGAAGCCATCGTGCGCATTTTCGTCGTTTTCGTCTTTTTTGACTTAACAAGGCCAGTTTTGCACTAAAATGACGCTAATTACGACTAAAAAGGTGCGCTTTTACCGTAACAAAATTGGCATCTTTTTTGGCATGTAATGCATGTTTGCAATACAAGTTAGAGAAGATACTTTTGCACTGGATAACTCGTTATTACACGAGATTTTCAACCGAAACAAGTTTTATCGGGAGAAGGCTTATTCATTGCACATATCCCTGCATGTCTGGAAGGACCCGAACTTGTCATGCGCATTTCAAGTCACACAAAAATCTGTCATGCGCGGACAGCAAAAGAAGTGACCCACTTTGACTCACTGAGCAAAGAGAAGATTTGTCATGCGAATTAGGCATTGAAATAGTCAAGACCTGTAATATTAAAACTACAGTCTGCATGCCAGACCTTTCGTGTTACGGAAAAACAGCATGGCAAGCTTCTGCGGTCTTCCAGACATCCAGGGATATTTGCATTCGATAAAGCTGAAAAGGAAGCGAAAGAGGCGGCGGACAAGGAACAGGAGGAGCAGGCAAGTCAACTTCGAGAACAGCAAGCTAGACTTGTGGAGCAGCAGAATAAACACCTGAAAAAGACGATGCTGCCGCCTGGAAGTGGGCCCGCGCGACAAGGGAAAGTCGCCAGAACCGGTAGTGGGATAACACAAGTTCAACTACACGGCACAGGGATCATGAAGAGGGCAGCTGCGCATGGCGCAGTTGCGAAGAGGGTGGAACTACACGGCAGAAGCGGAAAGAGCGCTACTATGGGGCTGCAGAACTACGACTCCAGTGCAAGTAGTTCCTTGCCGAGTTCTAATGTGAATAAACTTCCACCAAGTAGTAGCGGTGTTCAAAGACCTACGATCAACCAGTCTTCTTCATCCTCATCCTCATCTTCGGCAGTTCATAAAATCAATCTGCAACGACAGAATAAGCCTGGAATTCTGAACCATCAGAGCGGCACGTCGCGAGGTCTTCTCGGGCTGGGAACTACTGGAAAAGCAGGAGCGCAAGATGTTGTTGCCAAGGAGGTGATGAGACAGCGGCAGGCAGCACAACAGCAATTGCTAGTGGAAGAGGAACCGGAAGATCCCGAGTTCGATCTACATCTCGAAAACATGCTCCTCCTCCCAACGACGCTGTCTAAGCGCGGCACGGTCGATTACGTCCGCTTGAAGAGGCCGTACCAGAAGGAACTGCAGCGGAGGAAACGGGAAAAGAACAAGGCCCGGGCGATTCGCTTGGAAAGGGAGGCCCGAGAGAAGCAGGCGAAGTTACTGGCACAGCAGCAGAAAGTATCACAGGATAAAACTAAAAGTGTTACAGTAACACATTTGTTGGAGTTTCTGCATCACAAAGTTGCTCGACATGGCAAAGAAAACCTGTGTTGCGCAGACTACAAGGGAAATCACGAATGAAATGAGGTTGGCAAGCATTTCCCGCATGACAGAACTTGTCTGTCTTGCTTCGCATGCAACACAATGTGTATCTGTAAACACCTTTTTCTTGCGATAGAAAGCCCGGGCGAAAGCCGCGGCGGCCGCGGCCAAAGCGAAAGCGAAGGCACAGGCGGCCAGGTATGAACTGCAAAAGTATCGTGCTAGTTGTATAAATCGCAATACAAATTGGCTCAGCATTACAAATTTCATTTGTAATGCGGATTTGCAATAGCAAGTAGATTTGTGATGCATAAATGCGATTACTACGAGTACGATACGTTTGCACAGGATACCAGGAACGCAAAGTCAACGGTCCGGAAAGGTGGCGGCGGGGGAAGGAGCGCGGCGAGTGGGCGGAAGAGGTGAGCAAAATAGTTCGCGGGATGAAAGTACGAATCATGCGACTTGTTTTGTTTTCTTCTCAGCCAGTTCTGTACTTGTTTTGTTTTTCTATTTTTATACATAAGATGACTGTCATCATAAAGCGGCCCACCAGCACTACTTTAGTCACAATTCATTCACCAGATGGACGACCATCTCTCCTTTTCGAGTAAGTCTACTTCGGGAGAGGGGTTCAGAAGAAGAGAAGAAATAAGTCTCACGACTCTGAGCACTCACTTAAAGAACGGTATAGGAAAAAATCGAAATGTGCTCACCAGCTAGTATAGAAATGTCGATGTTTGTCAGAAGTCAATAAGGATGAAATTCCGGTTTTTAACGTACAATTATAGACGATCCAAAATGTAAGTATTCAAGTTGTGAATTGAAACCTTTTATTCCATAGCAATCGATGAATCCTGTCTCACATTCATAGTTAGAAAGATTTTTTGCGTGTTTCACCTGTGTAACCAAAATATTTCTGTAGCGTTATGTGGACAGGATATTGAAAAGTAGGGACGACTCTATTCAAACTGAAATACAACCTGCCATGCAGCGACTGTGTGACGCAACTACAATAGTTGTTGTCAATGTCGCGAGCAGGTGCGTAGCATGGGAGATGCAGAAGTAGCATTACAAGCTGACAAACACGAAACGCGAACTACGAAGATTTGTGGTTTTTGTCCATCTCAACACTAGTCTATTCCTATTCGAAATTAATTATCGTTAATATTCGAAATTAGCATTACATACAAATTCCGATCCCCGTCGATCATGATCCAGTATTCATACACGCAGATAGGCGATGCGAGTTTTTGACTTGAAAGTTAACAAGTCAATAGCCACCATATCACGCCGGAAGGAATTGTGTCGATCAATTGCCTTTCGCCAGTACAGTCGATCGAGGATGAAAAAGAAACACGGAAGCAGCTGATGAAAATTAATACTATCTATCCCTTGTACCAAAAGCTTATGATGACAAAAAAAAATTATGACCATGCAGTCAGCAGCTGTCTCGTCTGCAGTGCTGACAGCAGCCAGCCGCCGTTGCAGCTATGCTATACCCAGCTTACAGCGGCAGCGGCTATGCAGGCTAGGTATAGTGAGGCTGCAACTGCGGCCGGCTGCTTTTTAACGATCAGGGGACGAAAATGATTGCGATGCGAAAGGTAAAATCTCGCTCTGTTCCTTCTAAATAAATCTTGCTCTGTTCCTTGCGTCAGCCGCGGGTAGTTGTGCCGTTCTTCTCCTTGTCCTTGTTTCGTAATTGCATACAGAACCAATGTTGCGTTCTCTGTCGGAACATTTTGTGTTGGAACAAGCGCAGCGTTGCTGAGTTTGTCGTTGACGCTTAGCAGAAGTTAATAGGCCTAGAGTAGAGTAGAAGTGCAAGTCTTCGACATTGCCGGACCACGAGTTAGTTCTTCTAGTTTTTCACAAAAATGAGAAAGTGGCTCTGTTGTCGGCGAGGCTGGTGCAGGAGGTGGAGTTTTGCGAAAAATTCATCGCGCGAAGATGATGATGATGATGATGAAGGGCCGAAAAAGTCCTATGGACCGACCTCTTACTGCGTGACCTAGTGCTTCCGTACAAAAACACTTTCCGCTGGTGCATCCTCTTGGGTGTCCTAAAATGAGTTACACCGTCCGGCGTTGTTCTCACTTTGTAACGAGGACCCCGGGATGCGTACCTGTCGGCATCTCCGTTATCATGTCCCCCTTCGCATCGTCCTCCATTTGCCTTCACGGCGTAATTAGTAAGCTTCTTGCCTGTTGCCACCAGATGCTCACTCCTACTAGTGGCAGGCGCTACGTAAAATTTACTGTATCCACGCAGCACCCGTATCGATTGACAAAAAAAGACCAGAAAAAATGTCTGTGTGAAAGAGAAACACGCAACCATTGTCTGCTTGGGGCATCCGAGGTATCTGAAACTACATATCATACAAGCATACCTCTTCATCTGCCCCAAGTTGTCATCTGTTGTGAGTCATAATATTTTGTCTAGTTCATGCATACTCAACACCTGGCGCTAACGACGTGGCATCTTCGAACTGCCCAACACGTATACCGACATCGAAATTCCTGGTCTTCTCTTACAATTGATAGCCCTCTACGAACGATAGCCCTCTACGAACGATAGCCCTCTACGAACGATAGCCCTCTACGAAGACATAAATAAATATATACAAGCACAAGAAAAATTCATCGCGCGAAGACAACAAGACCTGCGAATCGGCCACTTCTTGTGGAGGATGCCAAAAAAACTACTTCTCGACGGTTCCACCAAAATGCGCTTGGAGTAGTTGTGCTGATCATCCGAAGAGCAGGTGATAATGATCCATTGTGAGCTGCGACATAAACGCGCCTCTACTGCAGTTCTTCTTCTTCTCTTTACGGCAGCTTCGTGCGCTCGAAGAAGAGCAACACGGTTTATTCCGGCTACGGATGCAGGATCAACATGATCATGATCGTTCCCGGTGCATTCCATGTATGAATAGCTCAAAGAACCTCCCTTGAAATTGACGATGTTGAAGCATGCGGGAGGAAGATGGACATTTATGCGCTGCAAATGTGTCTGGGTCTGCAAATCTGTGATGCTGAATTGAGCATGAATGAAGCGCTTGCAATGGCAGCCAGGCATGACAAGTTTTGGAGACGCCTGCTGATGCCTACCACGCATCACAAATTGCGTTTTTGCATCACAAAACAAGCTCCTCTTTTGCTGCTCATGCAACACAGATTTTCCAGGAATGCAAGACACGCATCACAAGTTCCACTGTTCCAGACCGAGACACTTTTGCATTTGATAACGTTATGGGCTGCACAATCCTATTCATATTCTCAAGATACTACCTGCTCCGATAACGTTCACTTGCGATGAGATCAACTACTACGTCAAGGTCCATGTCAGTGAGTCTGGTGATCCATTTCCAACATAGTGCATTACCGGCTGGCAGTTCATGGTGTCGAAGAAATTACACATCTTGACATGCAGAAATGGCAATAGTGCGAGGCTCTCAAGATGAACACTAATTCGCAAAAGTCAAATAAATCGAAAACCCTTTTTTACTTCTCATCGCCCAGACTGCTCTTGCTTGTAAAAATCATCTGCTTCTTCTCGCGACCTGAAATTAAAATCGCTTTTATGGAAATAAATCTAATCGTATTTAGTCGTTCTGTCGGATCGCCTCTCGTCGTCGTGGCATCGTCTCAGCACCACTCTATGTGTTTCAATAAAAACAATCGTTTTTTCAACATCGCTTCAGGCACGGGCAGTTGTGGTTGCGGTATATTGGCGACCATTGTTTCAGTACGTAGACATAGCCCTAGATAATTCCTCCATGAGACTGCCTTTGACAGCCGGCAACGTTTCTGGAATTTAGTGTATGATGACTAGCACAACTTGGAAGCCCTTTTGTAGTCACTCAACATTGTTTTATCGATATACGGGTGGACGAGAATCTAGAGAAAAAAAACCGCTTTCACTTTTCACCGTTTCATTTTTCCAGATATGATAAAGTAGTTGCCGGACGAGCAGAAAAAAAATTTTGTAAGACACTCAGCATCCATCCCACCGGTTTCAGTTTCAGCACGCAATTTCAAAGATATATAATTATGTGTCGACTTTTCATCTTTAGAAAGGAGTTTACTTATTTGTACAATTGAAGCCACATCAGATACGCATGGAGTTGCAAGTGTCTACATTCAATTCGACGAGAAGCCCATCCCGATCGGAGCACAAACTTGTTGCAGCTCTGAAGGCGTTTTTACAATCTTGCAGTCGCGGGTGGAGATCCGAAAAACACGACAACGGGCTGAAAGACGCATGAGGAGCGAGCAGTTCTCTTAACGAGGGTCGCATTTTTGCGCATGCAGTTGTAGTATCTAATCTCTTCCGAAAAGGGTTTGTGACTATCTCTTTGTCTTTCGACGAGTAAAAGTTGTATAATAACTAACGGCAAAACATCGACATCGACAAATGGAGCGACACCGACACCCCTTTATTTTTACCTAGAAGCCAGTGACTCTTCCTTCTGATTGTGGAACGACCCGGAGCTGTACCCTATGGGCGACCGGCGCGACCACCATTTCGAGCCCAACGACAATCCCCCACGACCCGCGATTCCAACTGATCAATGTAAAAATTTTAACCCTCACCATCCCGATCCGCACGGTGGCATACAACAGCCATGTGGAGCTGCTAATGCCGGCCGCGACTTAGCAGTGCCGGGTAACACGAATAGACGCTTCGAAAATAACCGTGCGCGCTTTGTCCAAGAAGAGCATGACGTACCCACCTACCCTTTACCCGTCGCCCCAGTTCCCACGCAAGCAACGTCGGCGTTGCATACTGCGACCACGATTGAACAAGCGGAAGTTTGTGGCCATGCACAGGCTTATGCCGGAGCCGGAGACTTTGGGGCCAGCGTGGGACACCAAGCAGAAGCTGTGCAAGACCGGGCTGCCCAAAATGAGTGGCATGCTGCGCACGAGGCGGAGCAGGGCCTGCCACCAGATCGGGGAATTATAATTCCACACGGCCGTCGCGCTTTCCAAGTGGAGAACCGCACCTCCTACGACGGTGCAGCTGTAGTGGGCACCAGTGTATTTTCCGCCAGCAAAAATTATGGAAGCTCGTACTACCAAGACCAGAACGACGCCAGGAGGCCAGCAGCGACAAGCACGATTGAGGATGATGTGATATTAAGAAGCGATAGAGGTGCTGGAGCTCCTCCGGCGCGGCGCTCTGGCCGCGGCCAAGTGGAAATACGGCCTGCGGCGACACCAGATGACCTTGACCAATATTCGTCCTACAATCCGAACAGAGAGACCACCTCCGAGAGATCTTATTCCTTGGCTGCTCCCAGGGTCAGACATGATGTTGAGGACCATGCGGGTGTCACTGATGCCTATCGCGACAACAAGCACAAGAACTCCCGCACAGCCACAGGGCGGCTGGAAAACAGAGAAACCAGTTTCGAAAGCAGTGCCGACTGCGAAAACGGTGACAAACAGCCCGCCGCACCGCAGGAGCGACACCAAAATGCTGGCCAAAACGACCAGCAGCCTCAAGGACTGCAAGACTTCGTCTACCAGGCGGACTTGCCAAAGGTGGCTGTGGTTGGCATGTCAAACGGTAAGAACGAGCTACAGCGAAATGTGGAGTCAGTGCTTCACCAGAAGCAAGAAGAAGCTCAGCCTGTAGCTGAAGCGGAGAATGGTGGACGTCGCGGTTTTCATATCAGAAATCCTCGCGACACTACCAGCTCTGGATGGTGCAGCGACAAGGCCGACAACCACCAGGCCCCCGTCGTCCCGGATCCCGCACCGATAGCTCCCAGACGCGCGGATCAAAAGGTCGAGCCTTCTCCCGCGCCTGATGGCATCCTCCGCGGTGATGCAGATCGCCGTTCGTATGCTGAGATTCCTGGCGATATCGAGGATCCAGCCCGCGATGCGAGTCCTGCGAACATAAATGCGCAGAACCAACAACATGCGCCCGAGCCCGTAGTTATTACCTCCGCGAGCTGCAGCACGATCCCCGTCTACGGGCGCCACAACGCCCCCTTTCTCAACTCCCCGAGCGACATACCGGAGTATTTCAACGACGAGGACTGCCGGACTTCGTTATCAAATGCAAAAATGTCTGGGTCTGGAAGAGTGAGCGATTTGTCATGCAGCTTTTCCATGACCCATGAGGTCTATAATGCAGGACCTAGCATGACATATTCTGCGCGACCTCTCTCATGCCTATCCTGCATGAGAAACCCCCTCCCGACTTGGTCAAAACTGGACGACTTTTGGTAATCATGCAACTCAGATTCTTGCTTGTTTCAGATTTAGCATGACAAGTTGCATTCTTCCAGACCCAGACATTTTTACATTTGATATTCGTACAAAGAAAACGACTCCCTACTCTCCACGGTTGCGTTTATCCAGCGGAAAAACATCGCTGTGACCGTATCCTGAGTAAAAACGTCCCCACACCAGAGTCAGTATTGGGATTTTGCAACACAAACCTAGGAGTTTTGGGAGTCACGCATGACAAATTGCACTACGCAGTGTAGCGCTGGTTAGCAAGCGAAGCCGCATCACAGATTCAGCTGCTCATCCTGTTCAGAGCATCACAAATTCCAAAACACGATTGGAAATGGCTCTCATGGGGATGCGCATTACAAGTCGTCCTGTCTTTGCAAATCTGCATTACAACTTTGGTGTGGGTACGTTTTTACTCAGGATAGACCGCCACCGCCCGCGTTGGCCCCGGCATGGTCATCTGCATGGGGGAACAGGTGGTTGACAACCATCACGTGGACTTCAACAAGCCGACTTTATTGCTCGAAGTTGTGAAGCGGATCGGGAAGGGCGGGTCGGCGGAGGTGTTCGAGTGCGTGGATTTGCGAACTTGTGTGGGAGATACAGGATCAACTACAACGACCTCGGGATCGGGGAGTCGTGGGGCCAACTATAGCTCCAACCATGACGCGTCGCGAAGTGGTCAGCACAATGGAACAAGCAGCAGTGCAAGTCGAAACAAGGAGCAAGCTTCTCAGTTATCCGTTACCCGCTACGCACTCAAAGTCGTCTATGCTCGGGACGCGAGGCAAATGCGCTCGTTCGCCATGGAGGTAAACTGGCTGCGAGCTTTGCGGGACAAAAATCGGGCAGCGAAGGCCGGAACTAGTACCCAGAATGGTAGACACAACGCGGTGGACGAGCTGCGGGTAGTGAAGATGATCGGCGAAGCGAAATTTTTTCCAAAAGACTTGGTGATCCACATTCTGTTGGAATTCGCGGACTGTGGTATGGGATGGAAAGGGTTGTGTTGGTTTGTTTGAAAGAGATAGTTAAGTTTCTCTGATTCTAAACAGCGATTCAGAAGATGGCACGCGTTGATGCGCGCGGCAAGAAGCAGCTTGTGCATATTCATTGACTCGTAGGAGTCGTGCAGCCGCAGGCGCATGTAATTTGTCATTGCCATTTTGTACCACGCGATAGATGAGCATGACAAAATATCCTCTCCATTGGACAACCAACGCACCTCCTTTCCCCTCCGATACCCAACCTGCACTCCTTTCTTCGGAAAAACTACGAAATCTTCTCTATCTACGATATTCGCAATCTCTGGCGCGACATGGTCGCTGGCGTCGCGGCCATCCACAGCCTCGGGTTGATCCACTTTGACCTGAAGCCCGCGAATTTTCTCATCGTGGACAACATCGTGAAGGTCTCTGACTTCGGCCTCGCGCGGGGGATCAACAAGGATGAGGGCATCACCCATGTCTCCCGCGACCGCCAGTGCGGCACGCCACGCTACATGCCGCCCGAGGCGTTCTACCAACCGGACGAGGGGTCGGCGAGTTTGAAGATGCGCCCGGCGGCCGACGTCTGGGCCTTGGGGATCATCCTCTACCAGTTGCTGTACGGGCGGGCGCCGTACGAGCATTTAGAGGGCTGCGGGATGCGGGCGCAGTTCGCCGTGGCGGATTCCCGGGTCCGGATTCTGTATTCGAAATCCCGCAGGTGGGAAGAGCAAGACGCGGCGCTATTCGGCCATCTGGTATCACTACTGCAGGTCACGCTGCGGTGGCGGTGGGAAAGGCGGTGGGACGCGCAGACGGTGCTGAAGTATTTGGAGACGCCAGAAGGAGATGATCTTCAGAATGATTTTGCGAATTTGCAGCCAGGCCAAGTAGGTCGTGGAGGAACCACGACCAAGAAGAGACAGCAAAAGCTGCTACTGAAAACGCCGAAGAACCTGGTCAATGAAGAAGACATGAAGGGGAAGACGACGAAATGGAAGGGCCGCCGGCTGTCGGACATTTACGAAGAGGAATACATCGATCAGACGGCGTTTTTACCGCTTTTGGCGAAACAAGAGAGCTACTCCTACAACTCGACGACTGCTCTCGAGGGCACTACCGGTGGTGAGGGAGCGGGGTTATCGGCACGACGGCAGAATGGTCTTGGACAGCAGGATGACGATGGCGCTAGTACAGGCCAAATCGACGGAGAGGACGGGGCTTCAGCTGGCGAGGGAAAAGATACCAGACATGGCAAGCGAAAGTTCGAAAATGAACCACCAGAAGAGCACGAGCCAGAGCTGGTGTCATCCTCTGAGGAGGAGATGGATGGGATAAATGTTCAGGAACTACCTCCTGAAAGGGAAGGAGCCGAGAATGCCTCTCTGTCACATCAGCAGCCTCAGAAGGCGGAAGATGACACAGGAAGAGACGTTGCTCCTGCTTCCAGGAACAAGACCGCATGCTTGGCATCTGCGACACAAAGTTTCGACGAGGAAGCGCAAAGAGACACGACGAGGACACCAAGTTTTTGTGCACGTGAAGATGTTCTTGACCACGAGGACCTTACGCAAGACAAATTTCACCCCCTGATAGAGGACCCCTCCTCATCCTCAACATCCTCCGCGGGCCCCTGTGCCGCTTTTTTGGCCTCCTCGCTCTCAACCATCATCATCAGCATCGTCGCCGTTTGTCTTCTCGCTGGCGCCACGGGCCTGGCGGTGCATATGGGCAACGTTAGCGAGGGGAACAAACAAAAAGCAGAGCTGGGATCATCTGGGGACGAGTATCCGTTTGGCGGCTTCGGCGGCGGGTATAAGCCGAATATTCTGGTCCCGACACGAATCTTCAACGGGGATGGAGGTGGCGGTGGCGGTAGTGGTCCACATGGAGGAAACCCTAGCGGCCCACCAAAAGCTCCTCCGCAGCATCAGCCGCTTTCTCCTCCTACTCAGAGCTCCCCTTCATCCGTGCTCTCGAGCTTGTTACCCCCAGGACCCGCTTACGCCCCGGAGTTTCTAGCGCCGGCGAAACCAAAGGCAAAACCCGCTGCTCCGACCCCTGGTGGTGCAGCAGGACCGGCGCCAGCACCGGCCGCTCCCGGGCCTCCTGCACACGTTGCAGGGCCTGTTTCCGCCCCTGCGCCAGTAGTGGTTCCTGCTGCTGCGGTGCCGGCTCAGCCGACAGTACCTGCTGAGCCGACCGCGGCTTCGACTGCAAGTCCAGGAATTGCAACCAGTTCTGCTGATTCGGATGCTGGAGAAGCTCAAGCAGGTGAAGTACCAGCAGCAGGAGCTGGGTCACCATCATCTGCTCCGTCCGCGTCATCGCCTGATCCCCCGGAAAGTGCTGATCAGACGGGTAGTACGAGTGGTAGTCCCAGCACCGGGCAAAGGACGAGCAGTGCTGAGCAAAACCACGAAACGGGAGCACAGCAAAGGACAAGAGAAGGCGAGGAAGGAAACCAGTCGTCGGAAACTACCAGCCTTCATCAGGATGCTGAGCTACAGCAAGGCCAAGAACTTATCCATTCTGCTGCCACATCAAGTATTCCTGCGCAGCAGGAGATGTTGCCGCAGCAAGACGGAACAGACACCGCGCAAACGCGACCGCGAACAGGCACTTCCGACAGTGCGGAACTACAGTCCACGACGGCTCCGAGTAGTGATTCGGGTTGTGGCGTTGATGTTGGATCTGACCAGTCGGCAGCTGCGGGTAGTGGCAGGACCGATCTTGTTTCGGACCAACATTCAAGTAGCGCAGCTACTCCAATGAATCCGAGTGTGAACAACGAGAGCGGTTCTGCGCAAGGTGCTTCTGGTACTGGAATGAGCGATCGTGCGGAAGGAGAAATTTTTCCTGGTTCCTCAACATCCACTGGGACTGCTGGCGCAGCGGGCAGTGATATTCAATCTAGTCGCGATGAGGTCGTTGCTGCTCCGCAAACTTCAGCTTCGAATCCAGCAGCAGCTGCAGGAGGTAGTGTTAGCCAAGAAGAGCCGCGTCCGCAACCAGGTCCGAGTGCCCCTTCCGGGGAAGGTTCAGCCTTACTGGATTCGGGTGGCGATGGCGGGGAAGTTGTTGTGTCTAATCCCGGAGATTCTCCCACACCAGGCACTGAAGGAGACGTCGGACGACTGGGAGAACATGGACGCGATGTGAGTCCACTTGTTCCTCATGCTCCAGCACGGGGAAGGCGGGGTGTGGAGGACGATGTCCCTTCTATCGGGACCCCCTCGAGGTCGATGTCGCCACCCGGCGGACGTCGCAGCGACCGCGACGCATCTCCAGATCCGGGTGCCCGTCCCGGCGCGGCTACAGGCGGTGGTGGCGATGACGATAATCACAGCAGTGCAGATGATGGTGCGAGAAATTGTGATGGTGACACCAATTCGTCGGTTTGCGGTTATGACGACCAGTTTGACTGGAATGAAGACGATTTCGAAGACGCGGGCTCATCTTCTTCCCACGATGGGGAAGAAGATGATCAAGACGAACAAGGAGTTGGCAGCGCTTCTGAAAATGCGCCCGAGCCGACGTCGGAGACCGGGCGCGGAGAAGAGGACCTCCACTGTAACCCGGCCTCGCCCGCTGTTGCACCCAATGACAACCTATCGACAGACACTGTTCTACTTGGCCCTCTCGCCGCACAGGGCTCCAGCTCCTCAAGCTCATCTTCGGCACGGCAGGACGCGGCAGGTGAGGTAGTCGGCACGCAGGCCGCAGAAGGCCTCGGTAGCCACGACCCACAAGCGCTTGCTGCGCTAGATCATGATTTGTATTCCAACGTTCCAGATCTGAAGACCCGGCAAGATCACGGGATAAGCTGCGAAGACCTCTTCTTAGAAGTGCTGACCGAGCGCGTCGAGGGCAACAGGAAACCTGGAGATTTCTGGAACGCAGACATTGATCTTGACTGGGACCATCTCGCAGTAGCAAATCGATTCTTAGCAGCACATCTTGGCAATCATGACCCGCCACCGTATCCGACTGAGACGCGTTTCGATCCTGATACGTGGAAGGTAGAGAACCCCATGATTTTCTTATTTTTCTGGCTCAGTCGCTGTAAATGTGCGCGAATAGCACTGAATCCTAGCATCTGATGGAGAAGTGCTCGTGCGCTTTTTGCGTGATGATGGTACGATACGTCGTTCTTTCGATTGTGACGCAGGGCAACAAACTCGAAACACAAATAATCAGGTAAGTACAATCATGGCAATGATGCCGTTCTGCAAGATCAATAACACTCAGTTATTCCATCCGCAGTACGGATATCTGAAAACACGCGGCTGGCCCACTGTGGAAGCGACGGTTTACGGTGCAGAGCGTCTGCGGTCCGGCTGCGTGCCGCAAGACAAGGAATTTTTCGTAAAAGTGTGGAATTTCGTATGTGCGTGTAAGCTGCCTATTTTCAACTTGCGAGCCCACGGCCCACGATCCTTTATTGCAGCCTTCTTTGCATCGTGTTCTTGCGTATCGCTTGTGTAGCTCCCAAGCCATATAATGGAGATATACATAGATATTCATATTCGGCTGACAGGCCGTATACATTGCTTACTGTCTGAAAATGAACGAGCAAGTGCGCTGACATTGCAGGGTCGTGGGACGCCTACAAGAGATGGCTGAGCGTTTCCTTTCGATATTACTTTCACGAAAGCTTGCCAGCCACACCGAACCGCGATGGCTCAGGCGCCGCTGAAGGCAAGCCAGTTGTGGTGTGGGATGATCCATTCGGAGTCTCGTCCCGCACCACGATAAACACTGAGGGAACGAATACGCTGCAGGCTTCGCTGCAGGCCTACATTATGGGCAACGGCGCGGATACAGATGCAGAAGCTCTGGCCGAGGGCACGAGGAAACATATTCTGCGAGAGGAGCGGTGTCGGATCGGCATGGTGGCAGAGTACTTGTTCCAAGGGATGCGATTCCTGGACGAATTCGAAGCCTACAACTTCAGAGGAGCGCCTTACGGTATTTCGACGTTGCAGTGCTGCAGAATAAGGTTGTGAGCACACGTAGACTGATCAACCGCCCACTATTAAATCACGCCCAGGTTCAGCAGAATGAATATGTTGAAAAGTCTGAGTGAATATTCTTGACTTCGTCCCAGCATGATTATACATAAAGCCTAAAATCTTAAGTACTTAAATTATATCAACGACAGGTTATTGCCTGAATCCGCATCCCCGCCCGAGGGAATTCCCATCCCGGGAATGGCCAGAGCTTTTTCTGTACGAGACGAAGTTTCTTACTGGTCGTCGGGACCTTCTCCGAGAACCGCCACAGATATCTCCTATACACCAGCACTGGCATTATCATTTTCAAGAAGAGTTTCAGAAGCGCGCAGACTTTTGGCGGCGAGAGTCTACTGGCAACGGCGCGGAGTGGTCTTATATGCACTTCCGCTGGACTTGGATCTGGGCACGCTACATGGACTCTTCACCGGTAATGCAGGGTCAGGATTCGCTTCGGTTCTCCAGTGTTGCAAGTTTCCCCGGGTTCGAATCCAACTACGGAAGAAACGTTACGACTTGAAATGTTGCCGAAGATTTACGTCTTGCATTCTTTGGGGGCTGAGTTGGAAAGTTCATAGATATCAATGCTACGGTTGTGCTTCCTCGATGCCGCCTCACTTGTATGTTCCGTTTATGCAAATGCGTAACTGCGACCACGGAAACGATTCGTATTCGGTTCAGACCCCGCTGAACTTTCCAAAAGCCCGGAGAAGCAAGCAGTGAGTCTTCGCTAGTTTTTTTGTGCATGCTGTCCTTCAATCCGCGTGTCGATGAGGAGATCAAACGAAAGTTCGCCTCCGTGCTGCAGCCGCTTGGATTTTTCTAGAAGAAATTGTATTTGCAGCTGACATCGCCGAGGTGGGTGTTACGGGGAGGACTTGTGTCATCATAGTGCTTACTTGTGCGCAAGAAACGGGAACGGCAGCTGCATCATACCAGCATCATCTTTTTGCAGCGACAAGAATTCATGGTAGAACGAGGAGTACGTACAGACACACATCCATACGGACTTTCTCAAGCAAGTACTTTGATTGAGACTTGAATTGTCTTTCACAAAATATTGTAAGATTCGTGGTAGACGAGGACTAGTTGACTCATCACAGAGATGGAAACTGATCATAGCAACCGCCTCCAGGGGGGCCGCCGCATTTGCTTCCTGATTCTATTCATTTTCTCGCGGGTGCAAATGGATGAGCAAGCTGTATGATCTTCGCGTGTTATTTGAAAAAGAACGCCAGAATGCGCGCTCGAAGACCAAATTCAAGATGGTTCAAATAATTTGTTTGAGGCACCAACACTAGCTCTTGAAATTGAATAATCGCTATGTGCGGTCGGAGGAAAGATCAACATCATTGAAGTTTTGGAAGCGGCCTCTTTGCTACACTGAACAATTACCGCACAACAATTCATCATTTTTAACGTCCCCAGGAAGCAGCGACATTTTTCTATGGCATACGGAAAGGAATCCATATTTTAGCGGAAATCGCCTGAGCTTGTACCTAGCTGGATAGCATACATAGATCAATCCAGAAGTTCACAACCCTGTATAATCCTTCTTTTGCAGAATACATATTTTAGATACCCATTATTTTGTATGATCCGATGTAATAGATGAATTTGATTTTCTTTGGAAGTGTGTCGTGTTGCCGTCTAAGTGGAGCTGAGTCTCAAATTGAATGATGTGTATTTGCGAATCAATAATGGTACCTAATAAATTGGTAAGAGAATAGCTATAGCATATTTCGTCATTGGTTCAGTTGTGTCATGATTGTTAGAATTCACTCAAGATTTTGCTAGAGAACATCATCAAAACGTTGCCCGGTATGAAGAAGAAAGTCACTCCGAAGCATTGAGATATATTTGTGTCCGACCCGTCTGAACCTGAAGTGGACGTCGCGAAGACGCAACTCTCACTACTGAAAATGAATGTCCTACGCAAAATCGTGGGGCCGTCGGGCCTCCTGGCATGTGGGTTGTTGACCTGCGTGGGAGCAGTTCCAGTCCACGACGAAAACACTCACAAGAAAGATAGGCTGCAAGCCAACTCGTCCTCCTCTTCCCGGAGGACGCGCAGTCATGTGGAGACATCAGCAGGAGGTCAGTGCGAACGCGGACGAACGCACTCGGGTAGCGCGTGCCGGGGTAGCGCCGAGTCGTCACACCGCACAAGAAACCTTTTAGGCGACATCAAGGACATTGAACCTGGTCTGCTACTTTCTGGGCATACGGGCCTCTTAAACGAGAACAACGGAATTCTCAGTTTCTTGTCTACAAGCGATGCAGCCGCGATTCTGCAAACGAGCAAGGGGAAATCCCAAGCAGACGCACTTGGCGCAAGGATTGCTACCACTGCGCAGGCGCAACAAGAAGAAGGCAGGTCCCTTGAAAGCCGCACGGACAGTTGCGAAGACCTGTACTTGGAAGTTCTTCGCGAAAGAGTGGGCCAAAAGATGCCCCACGAGTACTGGAATACAACGGTTGATTTGGGAGCAGACTATTTGCAAAAATTCCAAGAAAAGGTCGAGAGACCGCGAGAAGAGGGCGGGAAACGGGTTGCGCCGGCCGCAACGGACTGGAGCGTATTAAAGATAGATACTTTGTAGTCATGCTCGTGGGTGCATTTTTTTTCGAAACACACTAGGATATAAAATCAAATACTGGCGTGGCTTCTACGTTTGATTTTGACGGCAAGTTATGATCTACGCGTCTAGTATCAGGAGGAGAAAAAGCAGAAGCTACGTCGATATAATGTATTAGCCTGTTGATGATATGCACAACGAAGGCGGCAGCAAGGGCCTTTAATTTTGACATCAACTGGATATTACTTACCCCAGGTACGACTTCTCATGACCATGGTGAGAGAAACGTGCAATCCTGCTACGGTGTACGAGACGTCTGGCAGTGTTTCTCTGACAATTCCCGCCCTGTATGACGCTGATAAGCTCAAGACTGGATGTCACAAAAGCGACAAAGCGTTTTTTCGAGAAGTGCTGGATTTTTTCCACGAACATTCTGTGAGAGGAAAACCACGGAAGCAAAGTAAGAGTCAACAATCCGCCACGAAGACCCGAAATGTTGTAATTTGGAACCCGCCAGTGGCCCATGCATTTTTCCAGTACAATGGGAAGACGGAGGATGATACAGCTTCAGTGGCCCCTGCGGACTTTGCGAGGCCTGTGAACATGGCGCGGAATCGGCGACACCGCAACGTGTTGGAAGCGAGGTGCCGTCTGGGTATGGCAACGGAACTGCTCTTCCAGAACTCGTCAAGACTTTACAGTTCGCTGAGTTTTCCGATTAAGCATGGTACGTCTAGTGTGGTGGATGGCTGTTTTATACCGTGGTCAATTTGAATCTGTCTCTGTTTCTGTTGATGTGTTGTATTTTTTTGACACATACGACTAGTGGAATCTTGTGTGCCTGTCATGTTCATATTACGCCATTCGGGTTTTGCTGCACAGCTCGCATCCCGCGATTGATAGGTGAAGCGCTCTCTATTTGCAGTCCGATTACATCCACACACTCTATGAATGTTCTTTAGCGCTCGTGATCATAAAGTTAAGCGGCAGTAAGGGTCATTCAGAGCAAAAAAAATTTGCTTCAGGTTATTGCCTAAGTCCGGAGTTGCAGGAAGACTACAGACGGAACCTGTTTGTCAGCCGTGACCCCTTAAACGAGGATTGGTATCCACTTTTCCGGAAAATGTTCCGCCAATTCGCTCGCGAGTGGCGCAGAGGTTCCGATGGAAAGAGCCTGCGCTGGTCCTATGACCAATTTCAGTGGGATTGGAGAAGTTTCCACGCAAAGCGCCTTCGAAATATCTTCAAGTACCAAAAACGCCCTGGCCGCCGGGCAGAGCCGTTCCCAAAGATGCTAGCGGAGAACCCGGAAAGGTACCTCGTGTTTCGGCCAACGAGGATCGATGACGAATTTTAAGCTACGGTCTTGGCCAGCTTGTCACAGAGGTCAAACTCGGCCTTTTACAATTGTTGTAGGATAATTTTGGGGTGCTGCCGCTGCCATTCATTTCCATAGCGCTCACCCTTTTGAACGTTTTTTTTTGACAAGAACTAACTTTTTTTGTAAAATATTCATATTGTGGTCGTATACCTGCGCCTGCCAAAATTTGACTTTTTCTTGTAAAAGATATTCACTCTGGTCGCAGATTAAGCATTGCAAATAATAAAAACAAGTCCGTATGATGAAGTCGTCCGTCCTCAGCGACGTGCCTATTTGAAGATACGTATTTTACTCGATTGCGATTGTTTCCGCTCCACAACCGCCGGGCTGGCGTCAGCGTTGATGGCACCCAAGGGGGCATAATTGATTTCCTCAAAAGGAAGTGGTTGTGCGCGCACGCAGAATGAGTGCATTGTATGATCGCACGGGTCGGCCTGAATCACGTATGGCTTATTTAATGGAGCGCCATATAGATAACTGCCTGCAGGAAGCAGAGCGACTGTGCTGGGCTCAGGTCACTGTTGCAGCCGCTTTGGAGCAGTGTTCGTTTCAAATTCAGGATCCGAAATCCACGTTCCGATTATAACGTCGTCACGCTAGCTCAAAAGACCAAAATTGAAATTCAAACTCTTCGCTCCTTTGAGTCTGTATCGATTTATGTATGAGCCACTCCACCACCGACGCCATTGAAGGTGAAATTCGGTTTTACGTTTACCTTGTATTTGGTTCCCACAAATGCAAATGGAGGATCAAAATGAGCAAGAGCATTTCCCGCGGTCTAGTCCGCATTCTGTTGCTCCCTAGTCAAGAAGACCTGGTCTCCCTGCATATTAGACAATCGGATCTCGGACGCTCATTGATCTTAGAAGAAAATTGAAATCCGAACGAAGCACATGGATGTTCTCACATACTGTATGCATTGAAAGGCTTTCAAAAAGATGAGTTCCTGTCTTTCTATGAAATTTCAATGCAGGAGAAGCGTGTCTCGTCAAGATCAATGGCTAAGTAATCATCCGGGAATTTTCAAGGAGCAACAAAGTTTTTACAACCTCAACTGCCCTGTGCAGTATTTTCTTTTGATCGGAACCGCAGGCGGGGTAGGTAATCTAATGTATTAACCTATTTTCAGATTTGAATTTGATCAATACTGCTGCTAGGGTTTTCGTTAAAAATACAGCCAAGGCTTTGGCTTTCGCGAGATTTTGATAGGCTTTCGTAGTTGTCTATTCCTTGCGGATCTGGTTTCCATAAGTAAATAGCACTAGCAGGTAGATCTAGACATCGTGAGACCGCGTTGAGCCGTCCCTGTTTGGAATATGACGTCTTCTCGTTATCGGCATCGGCGCGCCTCCGTTGGTGGCCTCTTGCGGCCCCTATCGGTGTGTTCCATTTTGGTTTCTTTGGTGCTAACTTGTGTACTTGCGCGTGCGCTGTCTTCGGCTCATGGTAGCGGTCCACAGTCCGCGGGAGGATCGGCCAGCGCGGCATCATCTTGGAGACTTACTGCACGGAGGAATCATTGTGGGAAGTGTGAAAATTGCGAAATCTACATGAATGCTTTCGAGGAGCTGAGGAAAGGGACCCTGCGGGCTTCTCGCAACCATAATGGCTTGGGCCTCTCTACTACTGAATCCGACAGAGTTATGGCCGATTTGTTCGAGATCTTGGGCCGCGAATTGGCGTTGCTGCAGGGACAGAGCATCGAGAACGCCCTGGTTCCTTGGGGCAATGGGCTTGATGTGCAACCGGAACGGGTGCTCCGACACATCCTGCGCTTGCGTGGATTATCGGATCATCAGACATGGAAGGCAGCCCTGACAACATGCCACCAGATGGTTTTTAGATTCGACGAGAGCATTCTCATTGAATCGCCACAGATGATTTTGCTCCCTGCCTGCATGCGTATAATTGATTTTCAGCTTTATTGTTTAGCGCAAGTTGACGTTTATTTTCAGATTCACAGTCACATCAACCAGCGCTGCTTGCTTCTATCTTTTGCGATCTTGTTAACTTCACGAAGCTGATCATGTTACATGAAATCTGGGAAAAAATCCGTCTATTCGGGTCGTTTCCCTACGGTAGCAATTATCTGCAGGTCTTTAATACACCGATATTCATATTGATATTGTTTGGTGGTTCTAGAGCCCATAGTTCTGAATTTTGATTTTTTCTGTACACATCAATGCATCACAGGGGAAGCTCAAGCGGCAGATCCGAGGCAGTTTGAAATGTGGAAACGCACAGAGATGTTGGAGTTTACGGAAGCTGACTCACCAGCGGAGCAAGCAAGAAAAAAGAGAGAGCGGTATTGTCGCTTGATGTATGTGATGTACGTCGGCAAAGACGGCCCGAGCGGTGGCGCCGACCAGGGCGTAGTTGTGTACCAGAGAAATCGCGGAAAGGATATGCTCGACGACGATTTCTTCGTGAGGACGCAATTGGACCATGCAAAAAATGACTGCAGGGAGATGCCAGGTAGAACTATGATCTTGTGTATTTCGCGAGAGTACTATGTTGCGCTTGTCTGGGTGGTTGGTCATTTTTGGAAGATGGGCAGCTCGCTCGTTTGCACGAATAAGCACCGTCCTGAATATCTGTGCACGAATAAGTACCGTCCTTGTAAGACGACCCAGTACATAAACGGGTTTAGGGTTCCGGCTTTTGTTCAGGCCAGAGAGGCGTCCACGCTGCTCTTTCCTAGTCGTGTGCCAGGCTGCGAACAGATGTAAGCCCGCTCCTGTCTATCGAGGGACTGAGTAAGAGGCTCCGCCAATCACCACCTAACTCCTGTCCTGTCCTGCTAGATCTCAAAGTCGCGGTCCGTCCTAGTCTGGCACTGTACGAAGTTGCGACTGCACGCGCTCAATGACGAAAAACAAAAACGTCAGGTCCTGATGCTACAGCGTCGTACGCAAAGTTTGTGCAGCTTGGTGTCTCAACATGGGGCGGTGGCCGTACACGTCCTCGAACAGCTGGTAGAGAGCCGGACTTTTTGGTTGTCGCGCCAACCTTTCCGGTTTTCATGGGCCGCAGACTTAAACATGCGTTTTGGCCAGTGCTCGGCGCGCTTCGTGCGTATAAGGAAAACGCTGATCGGCTTCCGGGATACACACCGCTTCCGGAGAATGGCAGTCTTACAAGAGCGCGCTTTGAGAGTCTCGCAGAGCATTCTCTGCAACCAGGAGGACAGATCGCGGCACCTGAGCCTGATCCTCGAATCAACAACACCATGCACCACTTTTCGTTCTTCGAGCCAGCTATTACGAATACATTGGCCGGCAACGTAATTAGTATGGGCATCATCCACAGTGGGATAAGCGAAGCATTCCAAACACTGAGCATCCAAGCCGGCCCTGCTCTGCCCGCCAACTTGGGCCTTCGACTTGGGTTTGGCACGCCGCCGCGTCCAGGTACTTGTAGTTCTAGCTTGACTCTACTTTTCATTTAGACAAAGGATCAACTTGCGGCTGCCTGCAATAAACGGGACTTGTAGGGCAGAAATGGCAAAGAATGTGACTTCTATTTGCCGGGAGGTAAATCTACGTATGCTATGATGAATGGCATCACATGGAATCTCGTCTTCGGCAGGACAAGACGGCTAAGATGGATACCAATTATGCAATCGATACAGGCCATCCGCCGCCAGGAAGTGGTAATGATGGCAGAGGCGACTTTTTTCCGCCCGGCGATGATGACGATGGTGATCAGCCTGGGGGCAAGAGAAAACCGGGGCCCGCAGATGTGAAAAGAAAGCCTCCAACAAAGACATCCCGTGGTGGGACAGGGACGGGTAGTCGCGACGTTGCGTCGCCATCGACCACAGCCGGACGGCGCCAGGGACCTGAAGGGAATGCATCGCTCACCTTTTTGGGCGTCGTGGTACTTGGGAGTGATAAACCTGGATCAGCGGTAGGATGGTGGAACAAAGAACAGCTGACACGAAGGCAGCAGAGGCTTGACTTTGGAGAAACCCTCCGAATGGCCGTTGCGAACGCAGCGCCGAGGCTGGGGCTCCTATTCGCGGACAGCTACCTGTTCGTTCGTGGGCTGGACCGATTTGCAGGGAAGACACTGTCGTCAAAGGAGCAGGAAGAGCAGGATGCGAGCCAGGTATCATCCGATTTTATTTTCTCGGGCCTGCAGCTTTGCACGTCTTTTTTCAGAATTACGCAGTATATCGTAGACCCAGACTCATGTATATGGCTACGGAGGCGAGGAGTAGGCCTATGGTTTTACAGTGTTAGGAGATTTTTTGTTTGGTGATGTCTCCATGTTGTCAGCACTAGTTCCTCGTAAGCACCAAGTTGATATAATGGGGAAAACAAGGACATGGGCTTTCTAATTGTTTGCGTGTAGTAGTACTGCTCATGATCTGACATATTGGCTGAAATACGAAAACAGCTGGCGCTGATTGCCCGCGGTGCTAGAAACGATGGCGTTTTGACGATTGCAACCTGGAAACGCTGCGAGGCAGAGCTTTCTTCCGGACAAATTTTTGTCGCCGGTGTCCTGCTTCAGCAGCTTGCGCGACTCGCGGGTGAGAGTGTACAAGGCACTATCGGCGGAGGCGTGGCTATGCACGTTGCTGCCGTGTTTGAAAATATCTTGGCGTGGAGGAAATCCCCTGCGTCAGAGGATGTTGGCGGGCGCGTCGCAGCTGAAAGAGACACGATTGGAAGCATCGCAGAAATGTTCGCCGGCACAACCGACATTCTTAATCGGGAACGAGCTCTCACTACACCAGCGGAGACTGCTAATGCCCCCACCATGGTGGTTGGGCAGCTGACCAAGCCTCCAGCCTCCCTTTTCCCAAAGGCAGCCCAAGGAAGTACAGGGACCGCGGGCCGCAGTTCGGGAGGCCCGCCAAGGACAGGAATGTCTTCCGGTCGCAGTGGTGCTAGTAAAGCCACCTTAAGTAATGTCAGCCAGCGCGACTCTGGCAGGGCCGCGCGGCGATCTCGAACAAAATCGCCCGGAAGCGACGGGGCGAAGAAGGCGCTGGTGCTCGACCCTCCCTCCGTTCGGAGCGGTAGCAGGCTTCGGCTACACTCTACAGACAAAACAAAATGGGAGCAGCGAGCGGACGTATTGACAATCGGGGGTTACCGTGAAATTCCTGAAAAGAAATTGGACGCCAGCAGCGTGCAGATTAGCTTTTCAGAGCCTAAAACAGATGAGCTCGACGCAGAGGAGCTTGCGGAGGTGTCCGGTGATGAAGAAGACTCTGGCTCCGCGTCCACCAGTTCTAGCAGTAGTTCATCTAGTACCGAATCCGAGGAACAACAGAAGAAGACGCACGCTAGAGCCAACGCATCTTTGGAGCACCTGCAACAGGAGCTCGGCACAAACCTGTACGACAATTTTTTCTTGTCCTTTATGAACCACATCCGCAGGCGGAGCGGCAGATACGATATAGACGCGGAACACATTTTGCGACACTTGATTTTCAAACTGGGTCCCCGCCTTCAGGACTTGCCCTTGCACAATGGAGGGTTCACCCACGCCCAAGGATTCAGTCCGACAAAGGTGCTCCGGGAAATTGCTTATCTCGCATATTTATCACACGGAAAAATGTACCCGCTGGGACGCCATCTATTGTTTGTCACTCCCATACCCAAACGAATGCAGCTGTACAAGATGATACGCGCCTGATAATACGGCTAAAGCTAATCAACCGAGAGCCGCGCTCATGAGGAAAAGAGACGGGGTTTGCATTGCGAACAACACCAAACTTTAGGAATATAAATATATTGATCCTCGCCACAGCACTGTGGAAGATGGAATGCGGTGTAATTTAAGAATGTCTCCGATCAGCAAAAGTGAAATGAGTGGTGTCAGGCGGGAGCTTTCCGTGTGACAACAAGAACTTCCGATGGACGAGTGGAAGAACCGCGTCGCCCGCTGCACCGAGATGATCTTTGGTTTCGACACGGGCCCAGACCAGCACATCTATGTGGAAACCAGACAGATGGTTCTGATACCAGCCTGCGTCGGTATAAATATATTTTGGAAAAAAATATTAGCGTAGATTTCTTTGCGAGGCGCCATTTTTCTCGCATTCGGACACCCTTGACAAGTAGCCCTGCTTCAGTTGCTCCGCGTGCACTGTAGACACGTCAACTTCAATTTTTTTTGAGTTTTCGTGCTTGGGCAAGTAGGTCGGTACCCAACATAGACGGCCAGGCCCCATGCTGCAGCCGCCTCAATTCTTTTCGATAAACATTTCATGATGATCTAAAACCCCGCAGCTGAAATCGAAAAGTGGGAAAAAACCTACCTCCCCGGAGACGCAGCCTCCCTTGACGAGAAGAAGAGTCGCTATTGTCGGTTGCTCCACGTCATGTACTCGACGGCGTATGAAAATGCGTACAGAGCTCCAGGGAAGCGTTTTGTCTTTCCGGCGATATACATCGACGAGGCGTTTCGAGACGCGGCAGATGTTTGCACCCCACCTGGTACCATCATTGTTTGGGTTTTGTGTAAGTTTTTGCATAAAAGGTTTCCAAAACGTTATCCGCGTTCTTTCTGGACGTGTGGATAATTCCTGCTCTGTTCTCACGAATCTCCAAATGCCGCCAGATTTGCATTACAACAGGCATGTTTTGAATTAGAATTACTAGCACCAATTGTATTTCGTTCTCGAGTCTGGGAACTAAATATCAGTTTGTACCTATAGTACTCGTCATGTGTATAATTTCTTCTCCGAAAACATCTACAGTCCGGCTGGACCTTCCTCATCGAGAAAACGGCAAGCTTTTCTACGCGACCCTGAAAACGCAGCTGCATGCGAATGGCCCCATGATGGAGGTGTCCCGAGCGTTTCCAGTTCTGCGTGACGACACCGTAGGGGACCTGCAGAAGCGGTGTGCGGCCGCGTTGGAAGGGTACGTCCAGCATGCCAACCGCACGGGCGGCGAGGTTTGGGCAGACCTGGTCTTGTCACGTGGTATGACCGCGTGGTCTGACCACGTGAAGATATTGAGAAGCAAACCGGCAGATGCTTTTCGGGTGTTGCTGTGGGAGGAGGTTCGTGAACCCCAGCATGGCAGCAACGGCCCTAGACGTGGGAAACTTTGGAAACGGTGGGACAGGTTGCGCGACCAAGTAGCTCCCGGTCAGCAGGAGCAGGACCTTTCGTGGGAAGAAGTCTCGCGACGTGATCTACGCCGAGTCATTGAAGCAGAGAAGCGGGGAGAAGTCTTGCGCGAGCAGCGCGGAAAGGAGTACGAGTACCTCTCCGGTACTTTTGCTTTCCGAGACCAGGGGCGATTGCTTGTGGAAGTTTTGCTGAGGAGCACTCTGCCGACGCGCCTGAGGCCCGGGTGGAGGCCTTTTGATGAGGAGCAAGCAGGAGCAGAAGACGAGGCCCCATATCCAAATCCACCTTTCCCTGTCTACAAAGCCGAACTAGAGTTGGTTCGCTTTCCGCTGAAGCCTGGGCAGTTTTGCCGAGGTAAGAACTGACACTTTCGCTGATCTTTGTTGTATGTCGTGGGAAGTTTATTGACCAATGCATGATCTCTGCCAGCCCGTGGTGTCTTGTCGTGAATATCTGGTTGGTACACCACGTTCCCCGGCCGAGATGGAAAAATGCTATTAGATTGTAGGACCTAATTCAACATAGTGCAGTGGTGAGGCAGTGACAATGATATAAAATGCCTTTGCAGGTGGTCACCCTTTTCGCTCCGACGGTGGGCACGACGGCGACAGCAGTGATGCTGATTCTTCGGGGTCTGAGGACTGGATGCAACAGCTCTTGCGGGACCAGTCGCTATGGACTGGGCCGGTGTACCGTCGTAGCCGAACGGCCGCTCGGAAGTCCACTCCTAGATCGGGCACTTCAGACGAGGACTTGCCTGCTCGTCGCGTGGCCTCGACCAGCCCGTCTTCACGTCTAATCGATCTGCCAGAAAAGGTCCGCCTCCCCTTTCCCCCTCTGCGCCTCCCGATCCCGGCGGCCCCGCTCTCCGGGCGGCCCCGCTCCCCTTCGCCACCACCACGGCCATCGGCGCGCGTGACGCGGGCTGGATTGCCTGCCCCCCGCTCCCCTTCGCCACCACGACGGCCATCGGCGCGCGCGACGCGGACTGGATCGGCCGCCACAAGCAGTGAATCTGGGCAGCGGAGGCTTTCAGTGCGGCAACATCGTGGTCAGCACGACGACGTTCGGGAGAAAAAAGTAAAAAGACGCGGCCTGACACGGGACACCGTACTAGGACGGTATGGCTTGCCTGCAGGTCCACCTCTGCCGAAGGAAGAGGTTGTACAGCGACGCTCGCGCACCCACGCTCCGCACTGCGTCCATGCACATACCCAGAGCGAGCCAACAGCTACGGGCATTGACGCAGAGACCCAGAGCGAACTCGCACTAGCTGCGCCTGGGTCACCGCACTGTATTGACGCCGAAACGCAAAGTGATTCAGCTGCCCCAGGTTCGTCTGGGCTGTCCACTCGCATTGATGCTCAGACCCAGAGCGAGCCTGCGCCTGGTCTGCCTGTAGCCCCGGCCGCGGAAGCTGCTCCGACGGAAGAAACGTGCCTTATCACCCACGAGCCACCGGCGCAAATCATTCGGCGTGGACAGTTTCAAGAGATCAAAGACCTGGTCGCGCAGAATTTCGCAGGGCTGTGGGAAAGACGGGCGGCGCCGCAAAAGTTCCTTGCCGCTGTAGCACTTCTGGCTGTCATCGCCGCGTTCGCAATGGCGCAGACGCAGATTACCGCAATGCACGGTCTTGGGTCCGTATTCAAATGAAATAATTGTGTGCTGTTTCCCGCGGATTTTAAAGCCGGCTCTGTGAACCAAGTTGCTGGACCTAGTTTTGCATTGAAGACCTTCTTGTTTGCACATGCATGTGCATCGTACTTCTTTGGCCAAGAATTGTCTTTTGCATTAACTTCTATCTTCCGAAGAATGTTCATCTAGCCAGACCAGGCACGACCCGAAAAATTTTTCCGATTCGGCTTTGAATGATTCCGCGAGAGGAAACGGTGTTTCATTTCGATACCCCGCCATGCGAAATCTGAGTCTTGGTACCGATTCGGCCGCACGGACTCCTGAAAGCGAGACAAGCCACATACGGGTGCAGCAAGACCACGGCCCACAAACCGCATCCACATCCAGTATGGCGCACTACTGCCTCAGTAACGGAGCTGCGGCTGCGCGCCATTGTACCACTTTCGGAAAGCGGCAGCCTTCGTGCTGCAGTTTGTCGGAAACTGATCTTCAGCAGTCCCACAATATGACGATGGTGGTCCCTACCTCGTGCGAACCGGGGATCTGGTCGCACCTCGTGGACGTAATCACAGAGGAGGTGCAGCGGAAAGCAGCCGATGCGGGAACCGAGCGCGCCATTACGAACGGCGTGGGGCTCTACGGGCTCTCACCCTGCGAGATACGGGTTGAAGGAGAGCATTATGTCCTGGAGGCCGAGTTCTGTTCACCAGAGGGCCACCGCCAGGTCGTGTTGTGCCCAGATCCAGGGCACGGCGAAGCGGCCTGCGTGCAGCGCCGCGGGGCCGGGGATAAGTGGGAGGTCGATGAAAAACTCACCCGCAACTGCCGTACCAGAGAGATGAGCAATTTGGTGGCCGGGCTCTCGCGTTTGTCCATCGACAGACCAAAAACATGCTCGCCGGACGGGCTGCTGCATGCAGTAGACGAGGGGGAACCAAAGCCCGACGAGAAAATGCGCAAGCGAGCACTGAAAATGTTTCGGGGAGTGGTGGAAGACATCTACCACCACTACGTCGCGCCGTTGGTTTACGGCGGAAAACTGCCCGCGTCTGCCGATGTCCGAAAGCGCGGCGTGCACATGACGCTTGCGCGGAAAGAGAAGGCGACGTAACGAAGGAGCTCAAGAATTGGTGAGGAGTGGCAGTAGACGACGGAAAGATTGATGAGGTCGGGCTCCGACTTGAGTATTAAAAAGAAAAGTTCTCGGCTGTATGGAAAATGCTAACGAACGATCTTTGCGCGAGTCTCGTTGTTGCTGCGCGTAGTCTCGCAGCGCAACAAACCTGCTTGGAAATGCAAGTGCATCTAGAGGAACTGCTGTATGTAAAGCAGCAGACGAGTTACAGTAAAGTAAGAAGTAGCCTGATCATTACAGTAAAGAAGTAGTATCAGTTCAAATTTTTTGAGACACACAGTGAAGCCTTCGTCCTTAGGTTGGGTTTAGTGATGGGCTATGTATTGTCTCTTTTTCAACATTTTAAGCCGCCACTATGGCTCAAAAACAAAATCAGACCTGTAGAAGTGGGCTGATATGATGTATGAAAATATGACTGTGATCCCGTGCGTTTGGTTTAACGAGTAAAGTAGTGCTGTCCAGATGATGTCCATTGCTGTCTTGTTTTGTTACTGGGAGGGACATCCGAGACACGCGCGCCGCACCTGATGAAGAAGTATCTGTTTACCTATTGAAGTTTGAAACGAGTACTTAGTTCGACGAGATCTAGCACCATGCCGACTGATGTAAAAAAGCTGTGTGGAACGGAAACGGTGGGATCCAGTCCTTGACTGGCGTATTTTTTGGGACTAGCAGAAAGATTTTGCGACGAAAAGAATATGTTTTTTTCAAGTAGAAGTAGCCACAACCTTATTTATACATGGAGTACTCGCATCAAGCACTATGGCACATCTGAAAAGGTCTGTACTTCAAGGACACTACACCTCCAGCGTTGTAGAGTGAAGATTTGTAAGATTTACATGTAGCAGTACAACTGTATCCACGTGGTGGTGCAGTTCTTTCCTCCTGAAAGAGTAAAAGTTGAGTAAAAGTAAAAAAGGTGGATTAAGAGTACAAGTTAACGAACAAAAGTAAAAAAGAACATATGAAGTTTGGTAAACCAAGTAGCACATATAGCTGATCTTGTTGTTGTTTTGAAAGGTGGAAAGAGCGTAGTTGGCGCCCAAATGGTCGAAGGGTATGTACGATTTCAATTTCCATGACCAAGAGCAGCATGAAAACCCGCCACTGCGAGGCAAGGTAAGACAACGTCAAAAGCCCCAGTAGCCGAACACCTGCCGCCTCCCAGCTTGGACTCCCGGGTGATCGAAATAAAGGCGAGGAGCGGCTTGTTCCAGCTGTCGTTGAGTTTCACGCCTGGAGACGTTTTTGTTGTTCAAAAGTCCGTCGTCCTTTTAGTTCTCGTCTAACCGGAGCAGAAGTGTTGTTGATCATTATCCACAGTACCCAGTAGAGACCTGTCACTCACCAGAAGGGGCCACTACTTGAAAAATGGTTAGTCGGATCTAAGCCTTGTAAGTGTGATGACCACACCAAAGTGATGGGATCCAGCATTACTTTAACACATAAGCAGGTCAAAAGATTACTAATATAGGTTTCTCGGATGACGAAGCCTCGTCTTGGATTTCTAATTATGCACACACAGCCATAATATTAGACCAAAGTTAGACAAAGATGGAAATCAATACGAACAAAGCAACTTTGGCTCGTTCATTAAGAAGTGCAACCTCTGAGCAGTGTGCGATCTCACTTGATGTTGAAGATTCTGGTATAGGTATCCACAGGAGATATGAGCTCCTTCATTGTTTATCACCCCCTTTTCTTGTCCACCAGCGGCGCCGACGCATTAATTTCTCGCGGCTAGTAGACAAATTGTATGATTGATGTTGTGATACTAGAGCGTTTTTTTTCACGGTAGAAGTGGTGCCCCTGAGTACTTACGTCACTAGGAAGCGCGAGTGAGTTCTTGCTTCCCCATCAGCCTACGAGAAGGTGGGAGAAGGAAAAGTTACACTGTCGAAAGCACAATGCGGCATCGTCAACACCTGCAGCAGTTCTTGCTGTTCTCTTGGTTTTCCCTTTCCCACGCTAGTACAAAGAGTAGAGGAGTACGAGCAGCGGCTGCAGCTTCCGAAACGTCCGATACAGCTGTTCCAGCTCCATCTGCTGCTGAGAAAGTTGAAATTTGTTCTACAAGAGCCCGCCTGGTTCAAACAGTGCGACACGTACTGAGAAAAACCTGCGCCGGGCGCTTGAGGCCGCAGCAGGACCGAGGGCGAGGGGCGGCGATATCTTCTACAAGCCCAAATATTTCTGCAGGAGGGCGACGACGAACGCCACAGCCGAGTGAGCTGCAAAAAGAGGATGGACTGCGAGAGCAACGTCGCCCGGAGCCCGACCAAGCGATCGACGAGGGCATTGTCGAGGACAGAACGGGCACATCTTATCGCAGGGGCGCGAAAAATATTGCGATTCAGGCTTCCACCGGTGACAGCTTTATTCGGATGATACCGGGCCCGCCGCCAGGTACCCAGCGTGGAGATTTCGTTTCGACATTCGGAAGCGATGGCGCCTCGTCAAGAGGGACTACGAGTGGAGGCACGGAGATCCGGACGGGGCAAGAGAGCGACAGCGAGTCGGCAAGCCGTGCTGCTAACGTAGGAAGCCGGGCGGGGGTGAAGATAAAGCTGAACAGAGCCGATTCATTACCGAAGGAAAAACAAAATTACGCTGGAATGCAGGTAGAGGCCTTACAACGGGAGGACAGGCCCGTCAGAATGGAGCAACCCGTTGCCGTACCGGAAGTGCGTAGGGATCTTTTGACCGATATCAAACGCGTACAGCCGGGGCTACTTCTCTCTGGACCAACGGGTTTTTTGAATGAGCAGAACGGCATTTTGAGCTTCTTATCCGCTGGGGACGCAGCTGCATTGTTGGGAACTGCCAAGCCGAATTCGGAAGCAGACGCAACCGGTGCGCAACTTGCTGCCGCCGCCCGCGCCCAGAAGACTCTGGGTAGAGCACTAGAAGACCGAACGGATAGCTGTGAAGACCTCTACATAGAGGTTTTGCGGGAGCGATTGGGCACAAAAATGCCTATTGACTATTGGAGCGACACTGTGGACTTGGGCAGGGATTATTTACAAAAATACCAATCTGAAGTTGAAGTATCTCGAGCAGAGGGTGGCAAACGAACTTCTGCGGCCGCTACGGATTGGAGTGTACTGCCCTTTTGTAGAGCCAGCACATTTATTGATATGTTTCCCTTCAGCTCCGTTTTTTTTCGCTCGCCTGCCGTTGCCACTTGCGCGCGATTATTCTCAACGCAAGGCGAAGGTGGTGCGATCGTGTCGGCAATGCACTCAGACTCACTTCACTGGCTGCCACTGCCTGTGCGTTACTAGCGCTTGCCCTTTGAATAGATACTATCTATGCATCTGTAAAATTTCAACTCTAACCTTCTGTTTCAGGTACGATTTCTGATGACCATGGTTAGGGAGACGTGCAATCCGGCCACGTTGTACGAAACTGCAGGCAGTGTGGGCTTTTCCATCTTGCCGACCTACGACTCGGACAAGCTTCGAAAAGGGTGCCACAAAAGCGACAAGGCATTTTTTCGCGAGGTTCTGGATTTTTTCCACGAAGAATCATCTGCGACCCGAAGTGCAACGGTGGATAGAAGCAAAAAAACTCAGACTGCAGCTGTTTCGGTGCGACATGTGGTAGTTTGGAACCCACCGGTCGCGCACGCTTTTTACAGGAAGAGCTGGAAGGCGTCGGAAGGCCTCCCTGTTTCTCCGTCTGACTTCGCTAGGAAAGTGAACATGGCGCGGAATCCAAATCCGTTGATTTTGGATCGAAGGTGCCGTGTGGCTATGGCAACGGAGTTTCTGTTTCAGAACTATGATCTTGTGTACAACTCGCTGCCATTTCCGGTGAAGCACGGTAAGTCGATAAATGCGTGTGTCTTCGTTGAGTGATGGGAATGTGTCCGTTACGGCTGCCTACTGGACGTACGTGGATATCGATATACCCACACTACAGCAGGCCGCGCACATATTCCCATGTGAAACTAGCTATCCTGTGTACCCAACCCTTCCCCTTGAGGCTTATCTTATTTGCTCCTCCTCTCCGACTATGCCTGGCTTCGTTTTGGTTCTGAATCGCTGTGGCGTGAGCACCTGGCCGAGCGATGGTGCGAGCCGTGCTATTCTTGTTCGACTGGTCTACCTCGACGAGGTAGACCTTTATTTGTGTCTAAAACTAATTCGAAGGGCAACATATCCATAAACAATACAGGTTACTGCCTGAACCCAGAATTGATAAATGCTACCGACCCACGTCTCTGGGTAACGCCAGTTAGAAGGGAACCGCTAGACGAAAACTGGTACCCATTTTTCCGAAAAATGTTTCGGAAATTTGCAAAGAAGTGGCGGAGTGGCTCCGATGGTGTAGGGCTCCGTTGGTCGTACGACCAACTTCAGTGGGACTGGCGAAGCTTCCATGCACAGCGCCTGCGAGATCGTGGATCATACGAGAAGCTTCTCGATAAACGCGCGCCACTTGTGCCGAAAAGGCTCACTAACAGTCCGAAAAGCTATCTGGTCTTTTATCCTTCCAAAATCTACAGCGGAAGCGAGTCTCAGGAACAAAGCTGATGTGGGGTACAGGCTTGAATACGATATGGAATGCACGATGAAAAATATCCGATTTTTTTAGCAGAGTGCGCCTTTGTAGATGTAGGTTTCCGTCGTGGTATAGTCTTGCCGGCGCAATGGAACTGGTCAATAACCAAGGCTAACACTTATGCTACAAATCTAAAGACAGCTCCGTTTTTGTTCAGAAGGAAGTGCTGAGCAATGTCCTCCGGCAGTGAAGAACCTAGTTCGTGTGGTATGTACGATTTCAGTTTCCATGATCAAGAGTGACAACCCGCTACGGCGAGGCAAGGTGGGGCAACATCAACAGCCCCGGTAGCCGAGCACCTGCCACCTCCCAGCTTGAACTTCCGGAAGATCGGAAAGGCGAGGAGCGGCTACTTGTTCCACCTGTCGTTGAGTTTCGCGTTTGAAGGACGAGGTCTTCCTCTTTCAGAGATATGTCGATGGCGACGCTTTCTTTCCGGTTTTCGTCAAACCGGGGTAAAAGTGCTGCTACTCCCTGTCGTTCTGATCATTCTTATCCAGCACAGGACCCAATAGGGATCCGTCAGGCACCAGAAGGAGCGAGTGATGATCAGTGCGATCTGAGTCTTGTTGTAACTCTGTAAAGTACGATGATAGTGATGGGAATGTATTGATTTAACGCATGGGCGACCAGATGGAAAATGCAGGTTAACGCAGTACAATACGCAAATCGAGACTAGGTTTCGATTGGACTTCGAGGCAGTCGCGCTAGGAAGTATCTCGTTGTTGGACGACGAAGCTACACCTTGGATTTCCAATACACACTCCAACATAGACCAAGATTCTTGCTACGACGACAGAAATTGAAATGCAAACAAAGCAACTTTGGCTCCTTCATTGAAGATTATAATATAATGTCGATAGATTTTGGCACTTCTCTTCTACTCCTACTCTACTATCTTCCACAGCGGCGCCAATCTATTCTACGGACGAACTTAGAAGCACTTACAACATCTACTTCGTGAAATCATGTCGATCTCACACCTAGAACTTACACTCCTTCCGTAGTTGGTAGAAATTTCAAATTTTTACAAGAACGAAGAGGAATTGTATAGAAACCAACTAAGCCAAAACCCGAACCCCGTGATCACCATGTCCGCCGCACTCCTCTCGACCGGTAGTACACCAACAACTACCGGTCACTACATTCTCCCGGCGTACTACCGGCAATGCGGAAAACGCGACTCCCCGTACTGCGAGCCGCCAAAACTCCCGAGCATCGCTTTAAAAGACGAAAACCTGGATAACATGCACACGCACACAAACTTGCAGCTACTGGCGACCGGGGAGTACATCGGGGCCGAATTCACGCAGGACTTCCAACTCTTTTGCCCCCTGCGGAAAACGATCTATCCCATGGAAAAACGTCCCCACCCCATAGTTGTCATGCAAATTTGCATCTACAGAAAAATCTGTAATGCACATCCGCAAGAGAGGCATTTATAGTCGTGTTCTGGTGTTTATATATAATGCTGTAAACAGGATGAGCAGAACTGTCTTTGTGATGCGGCTGTCCTTGCTAAACAGCACTACTGTACGGATGAAAACTTGTCATGCATAAGTCCCAAAACTTGGAGATTTGTGTTGCAGATTTACCCACTTGACTCTGGGGTGGGGACTTTTTTTTTGCTCAGGATACGATCCGGCAGCTGTTTAAGGAGTTGAGAGACGACATCTTTCCGAACATGTTCAAGTGCATCCCCCGGGAACCCAAGTACTACTATAAATTTTGTTTATATCATCAATTTCGCTTTGTCATGATGCACAACTTTGCTCATGGCGAGCGCGCTTTGTCAGCGAGACTGCAAGCGTACAACTACCGGTATAACAACTTCTAAATTCATATAATCTCGAGGATACTTTAAATACATTCCTCCCTCCCAGATGCGGCGCGGCCATCTTTGACCGGCACGAGATCTGCGTGAAGCTGATGCTACTGCTCCTGAACGGCCGGTGCCGCCGGGTGGAGCAAAGGGAGCTTCTCATGCGGGAGATGCAACGGCTGGCCATGGTGAACAACGAAGTGGCAGATAGGATATCGCACGAAAAAACTGTTTCACTGTGAACTTGTGACGCATAGAATGGAGCACACAACTATTTGTCTTGCTACACATGCAAGACGCTGGGCTTTTCAACGTGTTTTGCCTTAGGAAGCACGCATGGCAAGTTTTCTTGGTCATATGTAACGAACTTGTGACGTAAAACTTGCAAAATCCTTACAGTGAAACTCTTTTTTCGTACGATGTAGGAAGCTGTACGACTATTGTTCTGCGGTCAAGCAAATCCGGGCGTTAGTACTGGGTGGAGATGGCAGTGGTTCTTACCGTAGTGGCACTACGATGAACACGGATGGTGCGAAGTCTGCTGACCACAAAGGCGAGGCAGTCATGCACGTGGTAGATGATACACATGCTGACCCAGTGGAAGAAATGGGCCTGGTCGCCGAGAACGAAATGTTTGAGGAGGTGCAAAGCTGTGCGTACGACGACGACTTCTGCGACAAATGCTTGAGCGGTGACATTCAGGAGTGGCCGCGGGCCGTGTACCACGAGCTGACGATGCCGGAAGGTCCGAGCCCCGAGGAGCGCGGGAGACCCGTGGTATGCATTGCAAAAGCATCGCACTAGTTCATCTAGTATGAATTGCATTACGATTACAAATTTGCTCAGCATGAGAAATAGGATTTGTCATGCTGTTTTACCTTTTGATGGAGATTTGTAATGCATAAAACTGCGATTACTACGAGTTGTACGATGCTTTTGCATTGCATACGTGGAAACGCACGTGGATGATGACATTCAGTACTTCGCGGACCTGGATGACGAGGGCAAGCTGCGGTATCAAATGTAAAAATGTCTGGGTCTGGAAGAATGCAAGATTTGTGATGCAGGGTTTCCATGACCCATGAGGTCTGGAATGCGAGACTCAGCATGACAGATCCTTTGAGGGCTCTATCATGCCTTTCCTGCATGAGAAACCCCCTCTCAACTTGGTCAAAAGCGGACAGCTTTTGGCACTCACGCAACACAGATTTTTGCATCATTTAGATCTAGCATGTTAAGTTCCAACCTTCCAGACCCAGACATTTTTGCAATCCATATGCGGTCCCTCGTGACAAGACTCCTTTTCCTCACGCCACCAAGCGAGCATTGGCCGGAGGAAAGCGAAGACGGGGACGCAATATCCTGAGTAAAAACGTCCCCACCCCGTAGTTGTCATGCAGATGTAAAATGACAAGAAGATTTGTAATGCACATCTCCATGAGAGGCATTTCCAATCGTGTTTTGGACTTTGTAATGCCGTAAACAGGATGAGAAGCTCGGTTTCTCATGCGGCTGCCCTCGTTAAACAGCCCTACGCTACAGATGGAAACTTGTCATGCAAAACTCCCAAAACTTGGAGATTTGTGTTGCAGATTTACCAACTTGACTATGGGCGGGTGGGGGCGTTTTTACACAGGATACGCAACGCCCGTGATTCACGGAAAAAGAAAAAAGATGACGGTGCTCACGGAGGACCTCGGTTCCCCGGATTATGAATTGCAAAAATGTCTGGGTCTGGAAGGATGCAAGGTTTGTCATGCACAGTCTGCATGACTCTTAATGTCTGTGATGCATGCCCTAGCATGACAGATTTTGTGAGGGCTTGCTGATGCCTATATCGCATGAGATATGCCCTCTCGCCCTGGCAAAAACTGGAAGTCTTTATTTGCTGTTCATGCAATACAGATTTTTGTAGAATTCAGACGCAGCATCACAAGCTGCATCCTTCCAGACCCAGACATATTTGCAATTCATACGGATCTGCGGGCGATGATAGCCGCGGGGGAGAAATCCCGCGCGGCGGCGGCGGCAGCAGTGAACGGAGGAGGTGCGGGGACCACTAGTACTACAACTGGCGCAGCACCTCCCGTTGTCCCTTCGCCAAAGACGAGCAGCAGTAGCAGCAGCACCGCCAAGCTATCAGAATGAAAAATCCCCCTCCCCATATCAAAACGAAGTTTCTCACGCTGGATTTGCGTACACCAATCAGATTTGTCTTGCTGGCAAGGACTGCAGGCCCATATCAAGCCTGAGAAGACAGGCATTGGCCTAGGCGCTTAGCATGACAGCCATGTACGCTGTAGGCGCATGAGCATGACAAACCGCCTTTAGAATGCGGCGAAGCCTGTGCAGTTGCCTTCATGCGACACAGAGACGATTTTTGGTCACAAATCAGCAACACAAATTTTCGAAAACGTACTTTTTCAATATGGGGAGGGGGGATTTTTCCTTTTGATACAAGCCCCGACGTTCACCCTATCACCAACGCGAGTTTGCGCAGCCGACGTACTTCAGCCAGCCATTCAAACGGCCGGGACCCGGCCTGCCGATCGGCACTTCGCCGGGGCAGTCGGTGATCAGCAACATGGTGGACCAGCTGAACCTATGAATTGCAAAAGTATCGTACTCGTATAAATCTAAATGCATTACAAATTTCTTCAGCATGAGAAATAAAATTTGTACTGAATTTGTAATGCAGATTTGCCTTGGGAACAAGATTTGTAATGCAAGACTTGCATTTATACGAGTGCGATACTTTTGCACAGGATTGAACCGCATCAACAGCCTGGTCCTCGAGAACGCGAAACGGCTGAGCGGGAAGTGGACGCTGACCAAACTGTATCAAATGTATAAATGTCCGGGTCTGGACATTTCTGAGACTTGTCATGCACGTTTTGCATGACCCATGTGATCTGACATGGAGGACCTAGCATGACAGATTCCGTGAGATCACTGTCATGCCTATCCTGCATGAGAAACTGCCTCTCAACTTGATCAAAATTGGACAGCGTTTGGGAATCATGCAACACAGATTTTTGCATGATTCAGATTTAGCATGACAAGTCCCGACCTTCCAGACCCAAACACTTTTGCAGTGCACAAACTGCACCCGGCCTCGCCCGCAGCGGTGGTTGCGGAAAAGTGCAAGCAGGACGCGGGTATCAAAAGTAAAAGTGTCTGGGTCTGGAAACTTGTGATGCTGGGTGGCGTCTCATGATGAGGCTACGACTACTAGCTCAGCATGACAAGTTTCTGAGCTCCTAGGTGTTGCCTATTCCGCATGACAAACTGCGGCGCTGCATCACAGAAAAACGGAACTCTTGGGTAACGTGCATGACAGATTTAAGAGTCATGCCAGACAAGCATGACAAACATGAATTCTTCCAGACCCAGACATTTTTACAGTTGAGAGTGGGGCAGGTCGCGGAAATCATGGACGACTTTGAGTACTTATCGTGCGAAGAAACTGTCCCCGTCTCCATGTCAAACCTAATAACTAGTAGTTTCAGCATTACAAATGCCCTCAGCGAGCATGATGACATGAAAGATTATCTGTCACGCGTCGTCTTATGCAAGAGAAAACACGCTTGAAGAAGTTCGTTGTGCCCTTTATTTCTTGCCTGTCGAGCATGACAAAAAAACGCTCTGCAGGACATTGATTCCGCATTACAAGTTGAGACTGAGACACTTTTTCCTTGCGATGGTACTCGTTGGAGAACTATTTCGTGGACGTCCGGCTAGAAGACAACCGGTATTTCCGCAACCGGTTCCTGCGGTTCGCGTACGTTTTGGAAAAGCAGGAGAAGCAGCTCGAGACCTTGGCGAAAGGGGCGAAGCGCATCCAGGACTGCATGCTCGAGGAGGTGGCCGGGATCTACGAGAAAAATGTGAGACGGCTGTACTGCAAGAAAGAAGATGATGTTGAAAGAGATGTAAAGAATCCCGCCCAGGAAGTTGTAGACACCACGACGCCGGCGCAACAGGACACGACCCTCGAGGCGAGCAGTTTTTGTGCTTCGCCGCCTTCCTTCAAAAGAAAACGGCACGACGAACGGGAGAAAGAGAAAAAGGAACAGTATCAAGCCACCCGCGCCGAAAAAGCGCTCCAGGCTGCTAAACTTCCGTACAGCAATATCGTACGAAAAAAGTGTTTCACTGTGATGACTTTGCAAGATCTGCATCCAGGGGGGGCGCGGGGACCTCGCTTGCCATCTAGTTTGGTCTCGCGAAAGTTCCAGCCCTTCGTTGCTGTCGTCTGCACTTCGTTGCCATTGCTCTTCGTTCGTGAGTACCTATCGCCCCCGATGGAGCTAGATCGCAAATTCGTACGCTCCTCATGCTGAAATGCCGGATCTTCCCTGCTTTCCCCGCGTTCCCACGTAGATGTAGGTCTCTACCCTTTTACTTCTTTTTCGTCGTCTTGCTTACTTCTGGAATCCTTGTAGCGCTAGGTGGCGGACCCCGCATTTGTTGCAGGGGCAGATGTTTTTTTTTTCCGTTTTGCCAACGGGCTGATCGGGGTCGGTTGTTGATAGATACTTTTTAGCCTTTAGCTTCTACGTTTTACCGCTCTTAGAGGCAGCCACTCTATTTACTCGCTGATGGGCCGCACCCGGAAGCATCCAGTTTCTTCTTGCTATCGCTAGGCGGGTGCAGTGGTGGTTTCGGTCGGGCCGCACCCAAAGAGTCCACCCACTCACCGCGCGCATATGTGCTCTCTTTTGGCTGCATAATTGAAGAAAAAAAGTCCACCTATTTCAAGGGGCCGCACCCCGCTTTTTATGCCCGGCACCGTTCCTGACACACAGCGTGCTCCATGAGGCGAGTGCATAGATGGGCCCTTAGATCCGGCGACACTCATGCGGACATACTAATTCTTCATGATGACAAGCAAAAACTCCATTTTACAGCTACCGCTTCGCTTTGCAAACACCGCAATCGAGGTAGTGCTGACCTGTTTTGTACCGTAATACGCAATGGTCTGACATTTCAAAAAAACAAAATTATTTCATCTTTTCGTCGCCATCATAAGTATCTTGAGGTGCCGCACACCTCTATCTCTAGTTTCTTGTTGATTACTTCTCGCTCGTTCGGTCGCGCATGTGCGGTGCAGCCCGCTCAGAGTCTTTTGTTTTTCATGCGACTCTGCAGCCCCCAAGCATAAATGTTTGCATGTTTCAAGTCCTTGGACTTTCATGGGCCCACGCACATCCGAGATCGGGGGGGGTGGGAGGGGGTCCTCAAGCCAGAAAAAAAACCCTCCCGAGCGGAAATAGGGAATTATAAGGTGCAAGATCTGCATCACGAGTTTGCTACACATGACACTGAAAATTTGTCATGCGCGCTTCCCAAGGCAAAACACGCTTGTAAATCCAATGCCTTGCAGGTGTAGGAAGACAAAGAGTTCCGTGTTTCATTTTCTGCATCACAAGTTCACAGTGAAGCAGTTTTTTCTCACGATAAGCGATGTGCAGCGGTTCACGTGGGAAAGCCAGTTCCTGCAATCACTGCTGAACCCCCGGTATCTACAGCACGTTGTAAAAAGACACGTCGACGATCCGGATTTCCGCTGGTTTCTGCGGTATCTCCTGTACTTCCGAAACCCGACATACATATCCAACGAAAAAAAAATTACAGTTACACATCTGTTGTCAATGCAGCAACACAGATTCCTCTGCATGAGAGAGAAAACTTGCACTGCAGAAACCCTACGGGAGAACACGTATGAAACAAGGCTCCTATGCTTATCCGGCATGACCGAGGTTGTCTGTCATGCTGGGCTTGCAAGACAGTGTGTAACTGTAACACTTTTTTCTTGCGATATTACAAAATCTTTCTCGACTACCCGGTCGCGGTGGAACTTATTGCGAGGAAAAATCCCCCCACCTCCCCACACTCCTGTTGAAAAGGTCTTCTTCTAAAAGTTTGTCATGCTGATTTGTGACCACAAATCCTGTCTCTCGTGCAAGAGGGCATCAAAGCCAAAGAATTATCCGCCGCCTGATGCAGGCGGTTTGTAAGTAATGCTGTTACGCTTGCATGGCAGGCCTCTGCTATGCTAAGCAGTAAGCACCTACACCAAATAACAACACCCCTACGCAGACTTAGGCTTTGCCTGCAGTGTCTCACTGCAAGACAGAGCTGATTTGTGTACACAAATCCCGCATAAGAGATTTCCACTTTGCTATGGGGCCGCGGGGCGATTTTTAATTTTGATAGAACTGCTGGAGATTTTGCTCGTGGATAACTGCAAGCTTTTGACGATGTGGTCGAAAATTCTGAACGAAAACAAGATCGACAGTCTGTCGACCTCCTCGATCTTATCAAATGCAAAAATGTTTGAGTCTGGGAAATTGCGAGATTTGTCATGCAGATTTTCCATGATCCATGCCGTCTGATATGCAGGACCCTGCATGACAGATTCTGTGAGACCCCTATCATGCCTATCCTGCATGAGAAGCCTCCTCCCAACTTGGCGAAGGTGACCAGGCTACCAGCGTTTATTGAGGGCAGTCGAAAGCTGGCGCGGCGACTGTTGAAATTACAGAAAAGACACGCAGGCGCCAGCGCGTCGCTTGACCCAGAGCGCGTAGCGACAAACGAGGGCGCCGACGCGGCCACCGACTTGGTCAGAACGGCCGAGAGCTCCCTGGACCCCCGACAGCCGGATCGCGCCGCGTCCCTAACGCGAGAGGATGTGGATGAGAAGTGGCCGCTTTCGGTCTCCAGCATTGAATCGCGGAAGATGCAGCTAGAAGCCACTGCAAAGCCATCGGAGATCGCGTCTTCAGATGTGCTCACTGCTCCGGAACCGCAGCCCGACTTCGCGCGGTGGCGATTGCTGCCCGCTGATTCTTCCGCGCCGCCGGCGAAGGCAGGCGGGAAAGCATCCAAGGCCTCGAAAGTAGGCGACGACGTCGCGCGCGCCGTGACGAACCTCCGCAACCCCCTGGGCTTTTGTCGACTTCTCGGGACCCAAGGCACCCGCACCCGGATGCAGCAAGGGCGCGAAGGCTTTGCCGAGACGCTTCTGGATGTGCAGGAAAACATCGCGGCCCCGTGGGGTTGCCTCGACTCCGGGCGGGCAGCTGCTAAGGCGCCCGATGGTTTCACAGCCGTGAACGAGGGCGGGCGGCGGCTGCTTCGTGGGCCAATGGCTGAGCTGCTGCGGCGCTCTACACAGTTGGGCCGGGGCCTGTGCGGCGCAGGCGGTGGCGACCTAGCCGGCGGCGCTGGTGACTCCGCACAGCAGAGCGATCCACTCGGGCCAAGCGCAGGCATTCTCTGCGGCCCCACCTGCTGCCTGATTTTGGACCGGTGCGCGGGCGAACTTCGCCCGGCTCTGAGAGTGTTCCCCCTGGCGTTCGATGTGGCGGCCTTTCTCGGGGGCCTATGCCTCCCGCTCTCCCTCGGACCAGACGAAGCGCCTGCATTCCCTCGGGGTATATCTTGACCAGCGACGCGTGGGCAGCAACGGCGGCGGCCCGGAGCGAGAAGGCTGCAATGCTCGCCCTGGCCAAGTCCGACCCAAAAGCGGAGGCCTTGCGCAAGAAGCTGCAGAAGGCACGCAAGGACTCGCAGAAGAAGACGAGCGAAGCCGGGAAGGAAGTCGATGCACGTGGCAAGGCGATAGGCAAAGCTATGCAAGCAGGAAAAAGCGCGGGGGCCCCCGGAGCGGCTGCTGGCGCTAGCAGCTCATCCGCGAAGGCGGGCGCCGGCTCCACTATCGCCGAGGCGCGTAATGCGTTCGCTGGCCTTCACTCCGTGCACCAAGATCCTACCCGAGAATCCCGACAGTCAGCGCGTCGCAGTATTTGAGTCGGCAAAGGGCGCGGCTTTGGCGCAGCAAAGGGAGGCGCTCGCGGTCTTCGCCTGCAGTCTGCTACAGTCCGCCGGGAAGCCGATCCCGGCGGAACTGCCTGGCCGCAAATGTTGCAGCGCACACCCTTTGCAGGACGCAGGCATGGGACGACTTCGAGCCCCCCCGCCAGGCTCTTGAAGATGTGGGCCACAGGTGTGACGCTACGACCGGCCGGGGCCCCGCTGTTTTGCCGGCTCGGGACGCTCAGCGGCAAGGCTACAGAGGCCAAAGCAGTGCAGTGGGAGAAGCTGAAGGCCGGCCAGATCATACGGGAGAGCCGCATGGGCCTCGGCCTCCTCTACCTGCCTCCGAAGATTCGGGGGGCCATGGCGGGCGAAACATTCGCGAGGAAGATGGGCGCGGGGCACGCGCGCGCCGGCCGACGAAAGTGGAAGGAAGCCCCGCGCCAGCTGGGACCTGGGTCCAGCTGTGTCGCTGCTGCAGTACGTGATCCACCAGCGAGGAGAGTTGCAAGAGCTTGCCGGGGTTCGCAGGTGTCGACCACAATGAGAACCAGGCCCGCGCTGCGCGAATTGCCTCCAGTAGTGGCACGGACGCAGGAGAGGGCGCTGGAGCAGCTCGGCAGGCTTCGCGCCGGTTCGAAGCACCAGCTGGCGCCGTTGTGTGGGATGATCGGCCGGGGCGATGTCAACCCTAACAGCGAGACCGTTGCGCATTTCGTCTCTCTGCTTGGTCCTGTGGCAGGTTGGGGACCCTGTCGGCCCTCGCGGTGCCCAGCTATTCCGGCAGCAGACGCAAGCTCCGCAGCCAGAGGCGGCCTCGGAGAAGAAGACGGGGGGACTTCTCGATGGCGTGCAGTTTGCCACCGGCGGGAGCGGGAAAACAAAGTAAGAACCGGCGCGGAGGACCGGGAGAACTTCGAGAAGGATTTGCGGCGGGCTCGCGCCATGTCGCGCGACCTGGTGAACCCGGAAAGCACCCGGCGGCGCGACCTCGTTGGAGAGGTGCGGAAGCGCCTGGGAAGTTCGGAAAACGCGGGGGACAAACGGCGCTGCTCTATGTGTCCGGTTTCGTCGGCCTCCACTTGTTTGAGCATGCACACCCGCAGCCCGGTCTCCCGGAAAACGGACGCGGCAAAGCTTCTCATGCTGGTGCGGACGACGGCAGTCAAGTGGCTCGATGATTTGCGTGGGGTGGGTGACGCGGGCAGCGAGCTGCGTCGCCGGCTTGTGCTGGATGTGGCGGTCGCGGGCTCCTTGACATTCGCAGAAGACCCCGCGCTTCTTATCGGACACCCGGAGGACCAGCAGCAGCATGGCGGGGCAGCTTCGAAAAGCGTGGCCGAGAGCCTTCGCGGGTGGCTGACGTTCACGGCGATCGTGGCCGATTACGGTGGTAGCGGCTTGCTGGAGTCGGACGGCGGGAGTCCATTGCGGCGCGGCGCCTACTTTTCGCCGAGCGACTGGCGGACCGCCTTGCGCCGGCGCTGCGCCGGGCGGCCGCGGCCGCAAAGTCCGAGGGCGTTACGAAGTTCGTGCGGGGCTACTGGAAGCAGGGCGCGGGCGCGGTGTTGTCGTCCGCGGGAACCAGCTGGAAGCGTGTCGGGCTGGGAAAGCCGGCGCGGCGGCGGGCCTGGCGCAAGTACCACGACGGCGGGGCCTGTTGGCCCGAGATGCCTGCAATGCACGACCTAGCGTCACAGATTTTTGGACGGATTCCTGACGCCTACATACTCCGCGTGACAAATGCCCTCTCCAAGAAAGACGGCAGCGCGCGGACCCCGTCTCGACACGCCCCCGCCAGCCCTGCTACGGGGTGCGACGATGCTAATCGTATCGCTCTCGCCAGCCCCCGAGGCACGGCGCTGCTTTTCATCCCGCCCCCGCCAGCTGACTCCATGTAGCAAGGCGCTTCTAACTGTACAAAAAGAAAAAGGAGAGAAAAAGAAACAAAGGAATAGATTAAAGAAGTGGCGGCGGGCAGGGTTGCTAGTTTAAAGACTGCGCGAAAGCAGCGCCCCCCTTCCCCAAGGGGTCCCCCGGGGCGGGCGCGGTGGCGGCTCTGCAAATGCGGAGCCCTGCGGGCCGATTCTCCGGAAACGCATAGAAAAGGGCGCGGGAAACAGGTCGGCGCAAAGTGTCGGAAAGGGACACGCCGTGGGGTCGTCTGCCACCCATCGCGATAGGGTCATCGTGTGTGATCATTAGACCCCCAGTGTATTTTTTAGCGCGCAACCGGCCACAAAAGTAAGACTTTGCATGCGCAAGCTTGTACGACTAACCCATTAGGGCAATGCTGGAGCTCCACCCTGCTCGCGGGCTTGGATGGTGAGGCAGGTCAGCCACACATAGCGCCCGCCCACTGGTTGTAGCTACGCGTAAGCAATCGATAGCGGTTTTGCGGGTGCAGCCGGGTGGTAGCTAGGAAGTGGATCGTGTATCCACCTAGGGGTATCGGCAGAGGCTAAATCTGTTCTAGCGCCCAGGTATTGGCAGAGGTTAAATCTGTTCTAACGCCGACCCGTCAGGAGTTAACTAAATGGTGCTGCTACGTACTAACTTGGTCAAAAGTGGACAACTTTTGGCATTTGTGCAACACAGATTTTTGCACGATCCAGAATTAGCATTACAAGTTGCATCCTTCCAGACCCAGACATTTTTGCAATGCATAGATCTCTGGCAGTTACAACACGTTTTTCTCCGTCTTGGAGATGCAAATCAAGTTCGTTCGCGCCGACAAGACCGAGCGGCCCCACTTGGCGAGAGACCTGATCTCCCTCGCGTCCGGGTTCAGTGGCGAACTGCAGTTCGTCTACGAGAAGACACTGCGCGACTATCTCGAAAAGCAGCACGGTTATGCATTGCAAATATCCCTGGATGTCTGGAAACCTGTGATGCTGAATTGCGCATGACTGCAACGCTTGCAACGGCAGCCAAGCATGCCAACCTTTCGGAGCGTTTCCCTCTGCGTGACACGCAATACAAATTGCCTTATTGCATAATAAGGAACGCTGCTTATTTGCTGCTCATGCAACACAGATTTTCCAGGAATGCAAGGTACGCATTACAACCTTCCAGAGGACCCAGACTTATTTGCACTGCATAACGGTGAAGCGGAGACAAATGAGCGCGATATCCGCGAGGCGGTGACGCGCCAAACGCAGTGGGTCGAAGAAAATTTCCCGGTGACCAGCGTGAACCCGCGGTCGTTGCCCCCGAACGTGAAAATTGTGTCCAAGCCGAAAGATATGAAATGCAAAAGTGTCTGGGTCTGGAAGAGTCTTCTAAACTTGTTATGCAGGTTTTCCATGAGCCATGAGGTCTGGAATGCGGGACCTAGCATGACAGAGACTGTGGGGTCTCTGTCATGCATATCTTGCATGAGAAACTCCCCTCCAACTTGGTCGAAAGTGGACAGTTTTTGGCAGTCATGCAACACAGATTTCTGCAAGTTTCGTATTTTACAAAGGGACGCCCTGCCCTTAGTTTCCCAACATGACAAGTTTAGCAACTTCCGGACCCAGGCATATCTGCAGTGCATAACAGACGCGGTGACGCAGCTGAAGATCGAAAACAACCGGCTGAAGTCGGTGGCAACGGAGGACCCACCGGGCAAGAAATTCCCTCTCGGGGGTAAAAGAACCGCGACCCTGGATGAAGCTTTGAGCATGCCGGCCCACCAGCTTCCGGGCCCACTGCCGGCGCTGGGTACGAAATGCAAAAGTGTCTGGGTCTGGAAACTTGTGATGCCAAAATGTGCATGATGAAAACGCTTCCGAATGCAGTCCGGCATGACAACTTCCCAAAACGCTTTCTCGTAGGAAATCCGCATGAGAAACTGCGTTTTTGCATGACAAAAGAGACTGCGACTTTTGTTGGTTATGCAATACAGATTTTCTAGGTATGGAACGCTAGCTTTACAAGTCCCAACCTTCCAGACCCAGACATTTTTACAATCCATACTGGGCGAACCGCAGCAAGAATCACTGAATCAAGCACTCGTGCGAGTGCACATGAAGCCGTATGAACTGCAAAAGTATCGTACTCGTATAAATGCATTACAAATTTATTTATCAGCATGATAAATGAAATTTCTAATGCAGATTTGCCTTAGGGACAAGATTTGTAATGCAAGACTTGCATTTATACGAGTACGATACTTTTGCACAGCATAGGCCGGAGCTGATGACGATGTTCACCGTGCAGCCCCTTTTGGAAATATCCAAAAAAAAAAAACAGTTCGTCACGATCACTCATGCGCATTTCTGCAATACAAAACTTTATGTCATGCGTAAAAATGCATCACAGCCAAACCTCATGAGGGATTTTCCTAGCATTTCTGCAATACAAGGACAAGCTGTGATGCTAAAAAAATTTGTAATGCAAAGGCCGCAAGTTAGTGATGTGACTGTGACAAACTTTTTGCTCTCCATAGGAAAAGGAAGCCAAGGACCGGCAGGGGAACCTATTGCCCAAGAAGAACCAGTATGAACTGCAAAAGTATCGTACTAGTAATTGCATTACAAATTTCCTCAGCATGAGAAATAAAATTTGTAATGCGGATGGACACTAATACCTGCGTTTGTAATGCATAACTGCAATCACTACGAGTACGATACTTTTGCACTGGATACCTCGCTATTACACGAGATTTTCAACCGAAACAAATTCTACCGGGAGAAGGCTGAAAAGGAAGCGAAAGAAGCGGCGGAGAAGGAACAGGAGGAGCAGGCAAGAAAACTTCGAGAACAGCAAGCTCGACTTGCGGAGCAGCAGAAACACCTGAAAAAGACGATGCTGCCGCCTGGAAGTGGGCCCGCGCGACAAGGGAAAGTCGCCAGAACCGGTGCGGCAGGAAAACAACTTCAACTACACGGCGCTGGGATCATGAAGAGGGCAGCTGCGCATGGCACAGTTGCGAAGAGGGTGGAACTACACGGCAAAAGCGGAAAGAGCGCTACTATGGGGTTGCAGAACTACGACTCCAGTGCAAGTAGTTCCTTGCCGAGTTCCAATGCGAATAAACTTCCACCAAGTACTAGCGGTCTTCCCCAAAGACCTGTAGTCCTCAACCAGTCTTCTTCGTCCTCATCCTCATCTTCGGCAGTTCATAAAATCAATCTGCAACGACAGAATATTAAACCTGGAATTTTGAACCATCAGAGCGGCACGTCGCGGCAGCAAGGTTTTGTCGGGCTGGGAAATAAAGCAGCGCAAGATGCCCAGGAGGTGATGAGACAGCGGCAGGCAGCCCAGCAACATCAATTGCTAGTGGAAGAGGAGCCGGAAGATCCCGAGTTCGATCTACATCTCGAAAACATGCTCCTTCTCCCAACGACGCTGTCTAAGCGCGGCACGGCCGATTACGTCCGCTTGATATCAAATGTAAAAATGTCTGGGTCTGGAAGAATGGAAGGCTTGTCATGCTTGTCTGGCATGACCCATGATGCTTGTAATGCATGACCCAGCATCACAGATTTTTGGAACGCTTCCTGATGCCATTTCCGCATGACAAATGCCCTCCTCGCGCGGCACCAATGTGGCTCCTCTTGCTGGTCATGCAATACAGATTTTTTTTAGAATCCAAAGTTAGCATCACAAGTCCCAACTTTCCAGACCCAGACATTTTTACATTTGATACTTGAAGAGGCCGTACCAGAAGGAACTGCAGCGGAGGAAGATATCAAATGTAAAAATGTCTCGGTCTGGAAACTTGTGATGCTGGGTGGCGTCTCATGATGAGGCCACAAATGCTGGCGTAGCATTACAAGTTTCTGAGCTTCTAGGTGTTGCCTATTCTGCATGACAAACTGCGTTTCTGCATCACAGAAAAACAGGGCTCTTGGATAACGTGCATTACAGATTTAAGACTCATGCCAGACAAGCATGACAAACATGCGTTCTTCCAGACCCAGACATTTTTGCATTTGATAGAAGAGGGAAAAGAACAAGGCCCGGGCGATTCGCTTGGAAAGGGAGGCCCGAGAGAAGCAGGCGAAGTTACTGGCACAGCAGCAGAAAGTATCACAGGATAAAAGTGTTTTACAGTTTCACATTTGTTGGAGTTTCTGCATCACAAAGTTGCTCGACATGGCAAAGAAAACCTGTGATGCGCAGACTATAAGGCAAATCACGAATGAAATGAGGCTGGCAAGCATTTCCCGCATGACAGAACTTGTCTGTCTTGCTTCGCCTGCAACACAATGTGTATCTGTAAACACCTTTTTCTCGCGATAGAAAGCCCGGGCGAAAGCCGCGGCGGCCGCGGCCAAAGCGAAAGCGAAGGCACAGGCAGCCAGGAACGCAAAGGCAACGGTCCGGAAAGGTGGCGGCGGGGGGAGGAGCGCGGCGAGTGGGCGGAAGAGGTGAGAACAATGATAGGCGGGATGAAAGTACAACATGCGAGTACTCAAGAGTTATTTCTCGTGGTACACTTCTAGTAGACCTGATCCTAAACTTGGGTAGCCGCGGCGACACAAAGCGACACAAACAAACCGTAGTGAAACCGATTATAGTGGAACGGTTCTTACTATCGCATTTTTAGCTTCCTCATCCTTACGACGTTTAATGCCATGTGCCTTTTTACTTTCACTTAGCCTTTCGTCCCTTCGTACGAGGAAAATGACATATACAGATGTCACTTGTTCTTGCGTTTGCTTCTTTGTCCTGTAAAGTAATACGCTGTACGACTGAACCATGCGACACCTCCGGATTATCAAGTAGTTCCTGACGAAACGATTGGAGTTTTTTGCTTTTTTCTCACACAAAAGAAAAAAGAAAAAAACTCTGCCGACATCTAGCAGCACGTACTGGCATTGACGTGCTCGACGTCCTGGAACAAAGATCAAAAGAGACGCGAGCATCTCTGTTCTCCATTCTCAGGAGTTTTTCGGCAGTAGCGCTCTCATGACTCTGGCGAGCGGAGCTGTTCATGCATTTGTAGATGCTTAGATCTTAGGCTGATTGGGTGATCAAATCAAGCCACTGCGCGTTGCAAAGATCCCTGGTGGGTCTGGAAAACTTTGAGTTTGTAATGCTATACGACAAATGGCATTTTTATTTTTTACCGCGAGAGGCAGATACTATGCGCGAAGGGTATTGCAAAAATGTTTGGGTTTGTCAGCTGTGGAGGGGCCATGGAAAATCCATCAAAACGGCCGTGTTTGGCTCAATGACGGTCCCGTTTGGGTCTGCCAAGCGCAAACATTTTTGCTGGCCAAGGAAAAGATCGATGGAAGGGGGGTGGAAGGGAAAATCCGTCATGCCGCCGTGGTTTTAGTGACGGCCTCTTTTTTCACAGCGATGTTGTGACGATCTAGCGAAAATCTAGGGAGGGCATTTTGGAAATCTAGGGAATCTAGGGAACCCACATGCGCAGACTTTTTCATCTAGGGGTAGTGCCTGCACTCAATAGAAACCGCCCCTGGGAAAAGACCGCGCGTGCTTTTGCTTCCCTATTTTTTGCTCGTGTCTTGCACAAATTGAAAAGCCCAGTGCCTCTTTTCGCTT